TCTGGGGAATTAGTGCTAAGCATCTGGTTGTATGAATTGATGACGACTTCCATAGCTAGATAGGAAACTATGTTTACCACAGCTACACACTTGAACACACACACTCTAATAACGCCACCGTGCCAAAACCTAGTCTCCGTAGACTGTTCTAGGAGACCATATATAGTTTTAGTGGTCGGGAATCTGGTGGCCTTGTCTGTATGGATCTCTGGCTTAAGTCATTGAAAATAAATATGTAGAGTTGGAAGGAGAAAAGTACTACCGACTGATATCTCCATTCTCATTGCTCCAACTGTTGGACTTCTAACTGCTGCAACGACCCATGTTAATTTGACTGGCATAACCTAAGATTCCATGGGTCTGAACCACAGGGAAGCTCTTACTGGCAACCCCCTTAGCTGACCTGGCCCGTTAGGGGAGTGGCCTGTGCCCAGGAAGGTGGTGGTGGACGTGGGGGCAGAGGTAGACGTGCCCAGGGGACTGTCGTTCATGTGTTGGGATGGACGTGTCATCCCCCAGTCTCAAGAGCCTCGCAGCAGCTAGCACAGTCAGTGCCGTGGCTGTGTCTCTACTCTCCAGTCTTGTTTTCCAACTTCAGCACTAGACAAAGTCATCTGGCAGAGTTTTCTCGGTGTGTCTCATCCTCACCTCAGACTTCCTGTCAGTATGACCAGCTCCTAACATCTTACTTTGTTGCATGTTCTGTCTTTGCTACATATATAGTAATGAGATAATGTATTCATCTCTAGGCTGAAAAAGCTCCTGACCCTGCAAGCTCTCTTCGGGTCTCCCAAACAGATGGTATAATCGAAGAAAAGACAGCTGCTAGTGTTCCTGCCAATGTGGTACGAAAAGTCTTTATACTGTGGACGGTTTTGTGTGTATAGGACTGCCAATAAAGGAATAAATTTAAGGAATAAAGTCGGCTAGGCAGATGATGCGCATCTCCAGTCCAGCGGCAAGAGGGTCACGACCTCCGGCCTGGGCGGCATGGTGATAAGCATCTGTTCCTGTTTTTCCTCAACTGTTGCCACAGATACATAAATTGTTTTAAAATGAGACAAGTAACCTCCTTTTTAACAGCAGGTGGCTTTAAAAAGGCAATTGGTGTTAGCAAAATGCTAATTAAGCATGAATGTCGCTAAGAATGCGCGTTTCTCTTGTCGGGTAGAGCAAAGGCACAACACCTCTGGCGCCACCACCTAAGCCTGTTCGAAGAAGATTGAAGTCGGAAGATGAGTTACGGCCAGACGTGGATGAGCACACCCAGAAGACAGGTGTCCTAGCTGCTGTCCTTGCCTCACAGCCTTCTATTCCCAGGTAATCCAAGCTGTTCCTCAGTGCATCTCAGCACTAACACAAAGTGAGTTCAGAACACCGGACAGAAAGAAGTTCTTCTAGAAAGAAGTGGTTGTGGGTAAAAGTGCTTGCCACCTGGCAGCCTGAGTTCAAACCCAGGACCCTCCTGGTGGAAGGAGAGAACCAGCTTCCACAAGTTGTCCTCTGACCTCCACACAGTCTGCCGTGCATATGGCGGTCGGAGGACATCTTTGGGGAGTTGGGTCTTCTTCATATGGGTTCCATGGAATAAACTGGGGTCATCATGCCTGTGTGGCATGTGCCCTTACCACCTGGGCCAGCTTGCTGGCCCAACTTTTACATTTCTAAGAAAAGAGAAAGAAACAAAGGCACACAGCAGGAACGGTGTGGCTCATAAAGCCAAAAGGATTCATTGCCTGGCTGTTTATAGAAAGAGTCTATAAACAGTGGGTGGTGCACGCCTTTAATCCCAGCGCTCAGGAGGCAGAGACAGGCAGATCTCTGTGAGTTCAAGGCCAGCCTGGTATACAGAGCAAGTTCTGGGACAGGCTCCAAAGCTAGAGAGAAACCCTGTCTCCAAAAAAAAACAAAACGGGTTGGGTGAAAAAAAGAAAACAAAAAACAAAAACTTGGTCCAGACTATTTCACTCCATGAATTCAACAGAAAAATAAAGTAACAGCTATGGTCTTGGGCTTCTGTAGCTTACATATTCTGTTATTGGAACAGCAAGTGAGTGAGCTCTGCTAAGAAGGGAGAAGTTGTTCCTTCTTCTGCTTAGAAGTCAGTGGGAGTAAAGGGTTAAAAATGGGAAAGAAATGAAGGTGTCTTTGCCCCTGTGTCTTCTCAGGTCTGTGGGGAAAGATAAAAAGGCTATCCAGGCATCGATTAGACGCAATAAGGAAACCAACACGGTTCTGGCCAGGTTGAACAGTGAATTGCAACAGCAGCTAAAGGTAATGTCCTTTCTGAATCTGAAGGTCTGAATGCAGCACATCTCAGTTGGGGGGACTTGCAACTGAGCCAATAGCTCTTGTCAGTCTCTGAAACTTACGCTAAAATGCGTAAGCCGTTGACTCTTAATACTAAAAGGAACTTCCTAATACAGTTCTGGTGCACAGTGTCCTATCCTGCATATGTACGACATCACTATTCCTATAACATTGTTAACTTCCATGAAGGAATGTCGAGAAGAAAAGTGGATTTTCTATCTCCAAGAGTACATGTACGGCTCTGTGCTCCATGTAATAGTAGGCAGTTGGGCTATTACTGCTTTATCCTGTGATCAGAGACAACGCAGATTCAGTAATAGGAACTTAAACCAGTCTAATGAAGACAGAGTGGGAAAGTTGAAATCATCTTGCCCGTGAAAAAAGAAGAGGAACCTTAAGTCAGAGTAACGTTTCCTGGGCCAGTGAGGTGGTTGGGAGTGAAAACACTGGCCCGCAAACCTGGGCACCTGGGTTCTACTGCTGTAACCACGGTGGAGGAGAACGGACTCCCACACGTCGTTCTCCAACCTACACACACACACACACACACACACACACACACACACACACACACACACACACACACACACACATAATGCTGAAGATTCTGAATCAAAAAGTAAGTTTTCTTTGTAAAACTGAAATTCACAATGAGATCTAGGATCAGATACCGTCACCAGAGGAAAGAGTTCATGTGAACACATCCATATACAATTAATTAAGGCTTTATTCAAAATTTGTGCGGTCATACCCATCTGCTACAATCACTAGCTCTTCTAACAATTAACCTAAAAGCATCTTATTGCCTGGGTCTGTCATCAGAAATGGCTTTGAATTAGTAGGATCATGTTTTCCTATTGGGAATGTCCAGATTGCCTTCTAAAGTGAACTAGATTTAAAATAGGAATCTCTCTCTCTCTCTCTCTCTCTCTCTCTCTCTCTCTCTCTCAACAAATAGAGTTGCGTTTGAAGCAGGGCTAGTGCTGTCAGGTTCTGTCTGCTTGTCCATGACGTGGACTTTGCATCTCTTTCAGGATGTTCTTGAGGAGCGGATTTCCCTGGAGGTTCAACTGGAACAGCTCCGCCCGTTCTCTCACCTATAAGCCAATGCCGTTAACTGTGAACATGCCCATTTTTAAGCAGTTTGGGGTTCAGAGCCTATTTGGAAACCCAAACCTTCAGCTCACTGCTTAATTGAACATTAAATTTTATGATTCTGTTTTGCCCTATATGTTCACCATTGTATTTAAGTATCTTTTATTTTTTAATTTCAACAATAAAAGGGTCAGGAGGACTTTTTCTGGAGGATGCATTGTGTTTGTTGGCATGCCTCACATTTCCTGTGCCATAACATCAGATAGCAGTAATACTGGCCCCTCATAATATGTGGCCACACCATACCGTGATTGGATTTGCAGAGTGTGCTTCTCATCAAGCACAAACTCAAATCTTTGCAAAAGGAAAACGATATGCGACTGTCAACGTCTCTCTATGTATAGAATCTGTTCTAGGAAGGGTTTAAGATGAGCTCCCTACTCGGTGTTTGAGTCAAGAGCCTGGTATGTTTCTCAGAAACTCCTTCCCTTTCCCTCCTCAGGGCCTTCGTCAGCATTCTTCAGGAATCGTGTAGAATTTCACCCATGACTTATGTGTGTGTGTGTTTATGTGAGGGCATTTATGTGGTGTAAGCTTCGGAACTATGAAGACAGGTCTTTCTTCCTGGTCCCCTCAAAGTGAAGGAAAGGGATGAAGCCGTTGCATGAGGAGTGGGGAAGCCATTTGAAAACATCACTGCTCTTTGCATGACTGAGGTGCTAACTCTAACCAGAGTGATACATGGGCCAGGATCCTGCTTCAGTTGGTGAATGCTTGTCTTGCAAGGAAGAGGACCTAAGTTTAATTCACAGAACCCAGTTGTTTGTTTGAATTTTTTAAAGCCAGGCATGATGGTGTGCTTGTAATCCCAGCACTGGGAAGCTAGACAGATAGGTCCCTTGGGTTCTGGGGCCAGTGAAAGACCCAATCTTTAAAAAAAAAATGTAGAATATGCCTGAAGAATGACACCCAGGGCTGTCCTCTGATCCATCATAACAGAATCTGAAGCTTGTTTTATTTGTTTGTTTGTTTATTTTTCAAGAGGATTTTTCTGTGTAACAGCTGTGTCTGTCCTAGATCTCGCTTTGTAGCCCAGGCTGGCCTCGAACTCACAGAGATCCACCTGCCTCTGCCTCCTGAGTGCTAGGATTAAAGGTGTGCATGACAACCACCAGGCTGAGAATTGTAATTTTTACACTAATAAGAAAATACAATATGCCGGGCGGTGGTGGCACACACCTTTAATCCCAGTACTTGGGAGGCAGGCAGATCTCTGTGAGTTCGAGGCCAGCCTGGGCTACAGAGTAAGTTCCAGGAAAGGCACAAAGCTACACAGAGAAACCCTGTCTCGAAAAACCAAAAAAAAAAAAAAAAAGAAAAGAAAAAGAAAAATAAAAGAAATATGGTTCTCAAATAGGTCCTAGGACTCATTCTCTCTTTCTACCGGGCAGTGGTGGCACATGCCTTTAATCCCAGCACTTGGGAGGCAGAGGCAGGTGGATCTCTGTGAGTTCAAGGCCAGCCTGGTCTACAAAGCAAGTTCCAGGAAAGGCGCAAAGCTACGCAGAGAAACCCTGTCTCAAAAAACCAAAAAAAAAAAAAAAAAAAAAATACAATATTTAATTTCTATATATTTTAGCCATAATTTAAACTTTCAAGAATTGGGAATTAAAGTTTCATTTTTGAAATATATTTCAGTAGCCTGAGTTTACAATTCTACACTGTACCAATGGATTCAATTACCATAACACAACAGTGGACAAACCATGTCTACTAACAACAAAGTAGACAACAACATAATCCCAGCATACAACTTTCACCAATCAATCATTTAACTATGCAAAAAGAATTCTTTTTTTATTCACCTAAAGTTTATTACAGGTGCTTGCTTTTTTTTTTCCCCACTAGATTTCCATTATTTTTTTATTTTTTATTTACTTATTTTTAAGCCAGGGTCTCTATCCCTGGCTGTCCCAGAACTCTGTATAGACCAGGTTGGCCTCAAACTCAGAGATCTTCCTGCTTTTGCCTCCAAAGTGTTGGGATTAAAGGCATGCCTGGCTACTTACTTCTTTTAGTTTTTGAGATTATGATATATCATTTTCCCATTTCCTCCTTCCAAACTTGCCCATAAACCCCTCCTTGCTCTCTTTTAAATTCATGGCCTCTTTTTTGTTACACATTGTTATATGTGTATACATATATGTATATACAATCATATTCCTAAATACAGTCTGCTCAGTCTGTAAATGTTATTTCTTTGCCTATTTTCAGGACTGACCAGTTGGTATTGGATATCTAATCGTTGCTATGTTCCCCGAGGAAGACTGTTTCTTCCACTCTCCGCACGCCATGGTTGTCTATAGTTCTTTGTGTGGGGTTGAGGTCTGATCATTCACCCATCCATATTGGCTTTTCTATTGTAGCTGTCCTTGTTCAGCTCATGTTTAAATAGTCATGTTGGTGAGACATGGAGGTAGCTCCTGACATTATTAGGAGACAAAGTCTCACAGAAAACTTCCTAGTCCTCTGGCTTTCACAATCCCCACCTCCCAACCCTGCCTCCCAAAATGTTTCCTGAGCCTTAGGTTCTGGGAATGTCTTGTAGATGAATCCACTGGGACTGAGTTCCATAAATCCGCTCTTTGATTGGTTGTGGTTTTCTGCAATGATCTGTTTGTTGCAAAGAAAGCTTTCCTTATTGAGGGATGAGGAACACACTAACCTGTGACTAAAAGGAAAATATTTAGAATGAGTTGGGGATTATGCTGGTTTAGTAAAGTGGTGGGGGCAGGTTCTCCTCTGAGATCCATGACTTCACTAGCCCTGAGTAGTTGGCTAGGTTTCCAGTACCAGGCCTGATTTTCTTCTTGTTGAGATGGTCTTAAGTCCAATTATAGAGCTGTTGGTACCCCCAGGTATACATGCCACAACTTCACTCTTTGGTTAGCATGCCATGCTGGTCATTGTAGTTCATAGACATCATAGCTAGCTAGGACTGTTGGTTGCTCCCCTCCTGTTGGAAGCTTACATGGCACCTTTTGGGTGCCTTGAAAGCTAGTCCTTAGGGAGGAGTCTTAAGCCCATTCCATTTCAGGAGTCTCTGGGCCTTGATTCTGAAGTACAACAATTTCCGTTAATTTTTACGGATTATTCTAATTTTTATGGGTGTGTGTGTTTTGCATGTATCTCTGTGTACTGCATCCATACCTGGTACCCATGGAGGCCAGAGAGAGTATCAGTTTCCCTAGAACTGGAGTTTCAGGTTATAATCTACCATGTAGGTTCCAGGAATTAAGTCTGGGCCCTCTGGAAGAACAGCCAGTGCTCTTAACCAATGAGCTATATCTCCAGTCCCATTCATTCATTTTGTTACTTAAAAATTACATTTTCCCACCACTGCATTTCTAATAGTATTGTTTAAAAAAAATGTTAAGGTTATTTGGAAGATACAAGAATTTGATCTTAAAGCAAAAAGTAAGAATTATAGAAAACAAACAAAACTCGCCAAACTTTTTAGTACTTTGAAATGGCATATTCTAATGTCTTTCAAAGAGGCACATTCACATTGTTTGACAAGTGCTTGAGAAAGCTGCTATTTCTATTTCTCAGACATATCCTTAAAATCATTAATTGCTTCATGAAAAAGTTGATTGGTGAATCCCAAAATTCAAGTATTTTTCTAGAATGCTCATGAAAGAAACGTTCATTCTGATTTTTCACTACTCATTTTTAAAAACCTACACGTTTTTTCTCATTGCTCATCATGTCAAATTGTTTTAAATAATGCTTATGCGCAGTAGCTACCGAAAGATGTGGTTCAAAATTTTAGACTTGTTCTTAGACACTTCACATAGTTTAATCATGCATTTTAAAAGTTGAAAGGAACCTCACAGATGGTCCTAGCTCATCCATCTCCTCAGCATCCATGACTGATCCCTCTGTTTCTCACTAGATGTTCTGAAGCAGAAAACATGGCATATGAATTTCCAAGAACCTTCTTGTCTGTTTTGAATCTAGTCTTACTTCATACTGCTTCTGATTGTAGTTTGGAGTATAGACAACCAAAGGAATTTATCATCCACCACCTCAGTAGCACAGATCCATTCACGTTTTGGACCTTGAAGAATGAATGCATTCTTGACATCTGTGAAAACATTTGAGATACATTATTTTTTTTCATCTATTGAAAGTATACCACTTACTGATTTTGACTGTATTTATAGTTACGTAACTCATCATTGCCTGATTAAGGAACATCTTTCTTTTTACCTGCTTAGTTTACTTCACTTAAACATACTGTTCTCTGTGTTCATCAGTGATCTCACATATGGCAAGGTTTTCTTCATGGCTAAGCAATACTGCACCTGAGCTACACTAATGTTTAATTTTCAAAGGCAATAATCAAAAAATGTTTTAAGTTCAAAACTTGAGTGGCTAATCTTAGAATTAGCCTATAGTCAAGAATTCAAAGTGAGTACAAATATAATTTAGAAGATTGTCTTCTAAGCAAAATTGAAACATCATTAAAAATCCTATCTTTATCATTATTTGTCAGTTATTTTGAAGACCAGATGATAGATAATGTGAAGCCCTTTAACCCCTTGTTTCAGTACCTCTAGAAAGAACTGGAGTCAGTAAAAGCTCTTTCTTTCCTGGTGGCTGTGGAGAGGCTAGACTTGGAATTGCCTTAGCATGAATGGCACAGCCAGCTGTGGTCTTATGCCTGTGCCCTTGTGTAAGCGCAGCTGCAGATGGCAGTGGGAGGAACTGAAGAGAAGAAAAGTGCCCGGTACTACCCGTACTCGGTGGTTAAAGGTGGAGCGAGACTCGGGAGTCAAAAGCGTAAGTAAGGTCTTGGTTCCTGCTTTAAGCTGAGGTCCTGTCTACACACGGGGTAAGTATTGCAGTGAGAAATGTTACCTTGCAGTTACCTGTCCTAACAGAGATGTAGGAAAGAGACAGATGGTGTGAAGCTTGAGAAATAGAGGAGGTACAGTATGCAACGGTAGAAATCAGCACCACCCGTTTCAGTTGGTTCTTTAATGACGTGCTGTTTTTATTGGAGTTGCAAACCAATGGTTAGTTACTAAGCACACTTTGTAAACACTGGCTCTTTTAGAGAGGAACTAGCTAATTGCTAATTTAAGGAAGAAAAGGACACTCAAGTCTGGAATAACAACTTACTCCTAGCAGAATAGGAAAAATGATAGAGGGCTGGGACTGTAGCTCAGTGGGGTACATGCGTAATATGTATGAAGCTCTAGATTCTATCTCCAGTAGTGCCACTAATGGGGAGGGAGGGGTAGGTGGGTGGGTGGGTGGGTGGATGGATGGATAGATGGATGGATGGATGGATAGATAGATGGAGATAGATAGATAGATAGATAGATAGATAGATAGATAGATAGATAGATAGATATAGATATAGATGGTTAGTCTGTCTATCTATCTATCTATCTATCTATCTCCAGTACTGCCAATAATGGTGATAGGTAGGTAGGTAGGTAGGTAGGTTATCTCCAGTAGTGCCACTAATGGTGATAGATAGATGGGTGGATGGATAGATGGATGGATGATAGGTAGGTAGGTAGACAGACAGACAGATACCTGAAATAGCAGCTCAAGCCTGTAGCATCTTCAGAAAGTGTAAGACAGTTTCACAGAAGCCCTCAGGATGATGTGGCCCTTGCCTACCTCTGTGACTAAAAGTTGGTTTCTGTTGTCCAAGGTATGTTTCGGATATTGCCAACTTTTGTTTCTTCAGAGGCAAGTTAATGAAATCTTAGTATTGGTAATTGTTCACAAACTAGCCAATTGCTCCAGCCTTTCCCCTACTTGGATATTTTTATAGTTAATGAGTTTGGTATGAGATAGCTTTTCTCATGAAAGAAAATACATACATTTGGAGTCTGGAATGTCTTCTACGAGTATCCTGGGAAGGGCCACTGATGCAATGAACTGGTAGGTTGTTTTAGAAGTCCTTTCAAATGGAGTATGAGATGTGCCCCGGCTGGTAACAAGCAGTGCATCATTGAAGAGGAAGAGGCTGAGATCTCGGGTCTCTTCGTAGAGCCTGTTAGAGTGGAGAGAAGAGCTGTTTTCATGGGTATGCATCCTGTTGATCAGTTAACCGTCTTTAAATTGATACACCTATGATTAAGACCGTATTCCACTACAGACCTTTTGTGTAATTCATGCAATCCTTGGTAAAGTGGTCCTGCATCTTCTCTCAGACCAATAATGTAGGCCATCAAGGTACCTGATAGAATTATTTGATCTCATCCATTAGACAAGTATTTCATAATGTGAAAAACATCAACAGTGAGGACTGGAAAGATGGCCTGATAGAATTATTTGATCTCATCCATTAGACAAGTATTTCATAATGTGAAAAACATCAACAGTGAGGACTGGAAAGATGGCTCAGGTTAAGAGCATGTGTTGCTGTTGCAGAGGACTGGGGTTCCATTCCCAGCAACCAAATGGTGGTTCACAGCCATTGTGACCCCAGTTATAGGCAACCAACGCTGCCTTCTGACCTCCGCCGGCACCAAGCCACACATGATGCACATGGAGCAGAAGCACGTAGAGGAATGAACCCAGCTGCTTGTCTAAATGAGCATTGACTCTTCCCTCCTTCCCTCCTTTAGTAAATGAAGTCGGTCATGACTTCTCATCACTTCCGTCAAGTTTGGTGTGCTGCATGTATTTGGGTGACTGAGAACCATATGGGTTTGCTTAGTTTCAGCTAAGATTGACACATCGGGTAGGGAAATATAAGGGAATGTTGTGAGTGGAGGCATCCATTGGAAACCTGGGGGACCCATTAGAAATCAGGCATCCAGTAGAGACCTGGGGGAGAACCATTTAACTATTGGTTAGAAATTAATTTCTTACTCCATTTGGAGAGAAATTGAAAGGGAGGTAGCTCAATAGCTTTATCCATATGAAAAATAAAAAGTGAATTGTTCTTTGTGTTTATTGACATTGCCAAAAATGGTCAGCTGTAGGCAAAGAGCAGACTTTGGTGTGCTTTGTACCTCATCTATGACCCTCTGATTTTTGCTTTTAGCTAGGTTGCTGGATGATTCTTTGCATATAATCAAAATCTTTACATGAGCTGTTATAGATGTCAGGGTTTACAGTGAGAAGCAGTTTGTCAAATGGTTTATTTTTGTGAAGGAGTTCTATATTGTGTACAAAACTTGATGTAGTTCATTATAATTCACTTTGTAATGACTGATATTATATATATACATATATATATATGTATATATACATGTATATATACATATACACACACATACATATGCTGACCTGAGTTACCAGGATATTGTCATATTAGACTTTCTATGCATATTGGGGTCTGTACATTTCTGGCAAGCCTCTAGTGACTCCAGTTCCACAGATCCAGCCAGGCTTTGAGAAGTAGGACATATAAGTCATTTTAGTTACATCTGTGCCTAAGAGCTGGACCAAAGACTGGATCAGAGTTAGGAAATTTCAGGTAGAGAACACTTTAGGCTCATTTTAGATGCTTGGGTATGCAGGTAATAAAAACAGTGGTCATCAAGTACTAGAGTCAGCTCTTGCATGTAAACATTTCCTCCTTTCTATGGTTATGATCTATGCTGCTGTGAGTGGGTTGCTTCACATTTACTTCTATTTGCGGGGGGGGGGGGGGGCGCTTTAGATCAAGTTGATGGGGTACTCTCAAAATGATAGGGCAGAACTAGGAAGAAAGGAGAGAGAAAGCCAGAAAGGGTGATCAACCACATGTAGGAAAAGGCCGCTTTCGCTAGGTAAAGAATTGGACCATGTTGTTTCCCGGGGGATGGGGAAAGGTTTTGCACATAGCCGATAAGAACAATTCTCTTTTTCTATATAAGTTTAGAAAAATGTAAAAAAAAAAAAAAAAAAAAGGCTTTATGATAGGAAAGAAGCTTCCAGGGTGCTCTGAAGAAATGCCATTGAAACATGCTTGCTTGAGTACTAAATGTTGGGCTCTCCCCGTTAGAATGGACAAGGTTGAGTGACAGGAGCTGCGAGAGAGAGTCCTTGTGTAACCAGAGAGGCTCAGAGAAAGGAGAGCGCTGCACACTACTGGAGTGTGGCCACTCAAGGACATGGAGGAGGAACTTCTTACGCGTGTGTGTCTGATTGGCGTTCACCCCTCGGGGCTCTAACAAGTCCCTTCACAAACTCACCACGAGCTCTCCAAGTTCTCTAAACGAGCGAATCAAGTAATTCCACCTGTAATACTGATGCAATGAGCAGCCAGTAGTTTAGACAGTAGTCTGTCTTCCACTCCAGGGACCCACCAGACTGTCACCGAGCTGAGAAGACACTCTTTCTTGACTGGGGCACAAGAGTGGCAGGCATGGCCATTCAGAAATATGACCCTAGAGTTCTTAACAAGGTCTTTAACAAAAGCCTGCCCCCATGGGGTTCTTTTAGCAGCCTGGGAAAAGGGGCTTCTTATTCACTCCAATCCCCACAGCCTTCCTATCACTTAGAGGAGTGGAGGCCACCTGTAATCCCAGTCCTTGGGAGAGCTAAGGCAGGAGGACATCCACAAGTTAGAGACCAGCCTGGGCCACAGTGATGAGAGAACTGCAGAATGTGTCCCTCCTCTCACATCTTTCTACCGCACCAGTAGGACAACTGTAGGATACAGTAGACAAAAACACAAGGCTTAGACGCTGAGGAAGGAGTCTTGGGGTGGAAAGATGGTTCAGAGGACCTGGATTTGGTTCCCAGCATCCACATGTAGCTCCTGTAACTCCAGTTCCTAGAGGATCTGACACCCTCTTCTAGCTTCCATGGACACCAGGCACACACATTGTCCATATGCATACACGCAGGCAGCACACTCAGTATCTTTTATTTTTAGGAGTCTTTAAGACTAGGCCTGGACAAAACAAGGCCATGAGGGGAAATGGCAGCCTTTCACTAACAACAATAAGCCTAGCCTAAGTAGGGGGCATGAAACCTCACACCAAAAAGGCTTGTTTTTGTTTGTCCGTGTTTTTCTAGCTTTCAGTAAGTGTTGAGTGCTGAGAGGCAAAAGGCAGAGAGAAGAGAGGGCAAGCAAGCATCAGAACCACAGTTGAATGTGGTGAAATTTTGAAACATTCAAATTAGGAATTTAACCATGGTTAATATGTTAAGAAATCTAAAAGGGAAAAAAATGGACAAAGCAGAAGAAAACTGGGTAATAGAGTAATAGAAACTCCTACAGAGTCAAAGGAAATGGTGAAAATAAAATACATTGTAACAAAGAATCCCATTGGTGGGCATATGGGGAGACAGCAGCTGAGTTAGGAATGGCAAGCTGGAAGGTGTGTGAGGAGAAAAGTCTGAAACTGAGAAACAGGAACAGACTGAGGTTGGAGAGAAGAGAATATCTAAACAAAAGGCCAGTCGAAAAACAAAACATACATGTCATGGGAATACCAGGTAAGGAAGAGAGAGAAGAACAGGAGAAATCCTCCAAGGAAGTTTGCTTAGAGGATGGAGAGATGTCTCAGTGGTTGTCTGCTGTTCTTCCAGAGGACATGAGTTCACTTCCCAGCACCCACACCATGGCTCATTACTGCCTGTGACTCCAGCTCCCGGGGATCAAACACCCTTATCTGACCTCTGTACCCAAACTCACATGTGTATATCCCCACAGAGATACATGCAAACCATAGTCCAAGAAAGCTCCAAAAATAAACAGACTAAATCTCTACACTTAGGCATAAGGCACCACTCCATCAGAAACTCAAGGACAAACGACTACAAAGAACAACAAAAATCTAGATGAACAAGGATAAGAACTGCTGTGGGCTTCTCTTCGAAACCAACCAAGCAAAAAGAATGGTGTAAAATCCTGAAAGAAAGAAATCACCAACAACCTAAAATTACATAGCCAGCAAAATTTTTCTTCAAACATAATGGACAGTTTCTCAAACCAAAATTAAGGGAACATGTTGCCAGTAGTTAGGTGAAGACATGAAGACTGACTGTTCAAGAAGCAATACATAGAGTAACCCAGCCTGGATTGGCTAGCATGTGCCCACCATGCCAGCTCCTTTAGACTTGTGGGGTCAGAGGGCAGCTTCTTCCCACTACTGCAGCTCTTAACCATTGCTACCACCCAACAGTGCAACAAAAACCAAGAATGCTAAGTCTGTGAGGCAAAAGACACTCTGTTGTGATTTGATTTTTCTCTCTCTGTTTACATTGATTTCCTTGTGTGGGGAGAGGGGTGTGCCTCAGAGCATGTGGGTAGGTCAGAGGAAAACTGCAGAGGTCAGTTCTCTCCTTCCACTGTCAGTCCTGGAGATCGAACTCAGCCTTCTCATGGCCTTCAATTTTCATTCGAGATCTTCCAGGTGGGGACGGAGGTGAAAGGAGTGACCCATCTACCCCACTGCCGTGGCACCTTTTGATCTAGTTTGCTGACATAATCATTGAAATAAAATTATGTGTTGAATAATTTGCCTTTGCCCTCAAGACTGAAAACATTGACCATTTCCTAAGATGGGGAAACTATGGTCTATCACCTGTTTTGTAAATAAAGTTTTATTGGCACATAGCCACAGCTGTTCATTTATATAATGGTACTGTTTATGAATAGAGCACTATTGTGTAGCTGTCTCTGCTACAACAGAAAAGGTCATTGCCATAGAGCTCATTTGGCCAGCAAATTCTAAATATTTGTGCTTAGGACCTTCATAGAAAAACTTGTCCATTCTTGTTCTTAAAAGAGCAACAGGAAGACTAATTTATAGCCTTTGGCATCTTTCCACCTGTTCCTACACTTCTGAGCATTATGAAAAGTAAATATGGTAAAGTCATTTTCAGTGTTAACTTGATCAGGAATCTAAGGATAATAAAATGATCCTCTTGTTTTTTAGCAGAATATTGGTGTGAGCTCCCACAATACTTGGCTCTGATCTCATTAGGAAACTAACCAACCTTGAGAAGGTCTGCTATGGAATTTATAGTCTTGGCAGACACTGTTTTCTCATTCTGCCATCTAGAATGCAAACAAAATGATAAAGTGTTGTACATCACCTGTAGGCATATGCGTGTGACTTTGATTCAGTACAAAGGTTCTCTTGACTGCACACAAGGTCAAGCATTGTACTGAGTGCCAGGGGTGAGCAATAAGCAAGACAATTTCTGCTTTGAAGGTGTCCATAGCCTCGGCCAGCTGCTGCTCACCTTAAAGAGAAGTCCATTGTCTCACCACAGCAATGAAGTTGAACTACATCTTGGATCCTAATCAGGTATCTGTTTACTTCTGATAGGGTCTATAAAATAAAAAGTAGGATGTACGATTATTTGAAATCCCATTAGTGCAGAACTGTTGTACATCCCAGAGCAGGCAGATGTTGACTAGAACTTAGTGCAGGTGTAGAAAAACCTGTCTTTTCTTACTTTATAATACAAGCTTCCTTTAGCAAACCAAAGTGACAACGAAAACAATATTTGAGACTGTCAGTTTTTTTAAAGCTTTCGAGATATTTTCTTTGACACTTTTCCTACTGTCAAAAAACAAAGTTAGGGAGGGGATAAAAGGACTGTCGAGAAAAAGGGGCAGATGAATTAGTAGCATTAAGACGTAGGCCCATGCATTGCTCTGGCCATGGGGATGCCTTCTCAGTGTGCACAGAAACCCCAAAGATGAAGTTCTGTGAGTTGTAAGAATCATACTTTTGCAGTCCAGTTAATCACACTGCTCTTTCCGTACCAAGACATGAAGAAGGAAATTAGGACAAAACTACTCCCTCCTCCTTCTCCAGTTTGACCAAGTAAAAGTACCTCCAATTAATCAATACTTTCATCATCTATCCCAAGCTCCTGCTGAACGTTAGACACCAGAAAACAAGGCAAAGCTCGCACATGGTGGGGCGCCCAGTGTGTGAAGGGGTGAGTGCAGGGCCATATGACAGGGCTGTTCATAGGGAGGATATGGAACACCAAGGAAAAGCTTCCAGCCGGAGACCAAGGAGACTTAGATAAGATCATGATTGATCTCATTTTCAATGTGTGTGTGTGTGTGTGTGTGTGTGTGTGTGTGTGTGGTGTGTATGTGTGTGTGTGTGTGGTGTGTATGTGTGTGTGTGTGTGTGTGTGGTGTGTGAGCACACACAAAGGGCAGAAGGACAACGGTTGTCCTGCTCTGTTGCTCTGTCTTCTTCCCTTCAGACAAGGTCTCTTGGGAAACCTGGAGCTGAACTGGCAGCCAGCTAGCCCCAGCAATTCTGTCTCCTCCCTCAGCACTAGAGTTAAAGGTGTCTGCCTGTGGTCTCCCTGGTGTTTTACATAAGTGCTGGAGACTTGAACTCAAGTCAGCATGCCTTTGGAGCAAGAGTTCTTACCCACTGAGGCATCTCCACAGCCCCTGACCTAATTTTTAAAGGGCTAATAGCACTTATCCAGTGAAATAGGAAAGGAAGACAGTTTCAAAGAAGAAAGCGTATCTTCAAAGAGCAATGGCAAGAGGGTACGTTATTAAAGAATGGAGAGTATGTATGGTGGGTGCCATGGGTGGTAGGGGAGTCAGAAGATGAAGGCGAACAGACAGGTTTACAGAGGGATAGATAGCTAACAAGTTCCAGTGTGTGGACGTCTTCAGTGCACTGAACCTTGCACCAAGGACTTTATCAGTCAGACAGAGATCATGTAGAACACATGACCATGCTGTGCTCAACTCACAGGGAGTCCTGATCAGAGTACCACCAAACAAGGAGCTACTTACAACCTTGGAAGAAGATCCCAACCATGGGATAGGGCCCAACTCACATACGAATTGTCTAATGCAGGTAACGGATATGTTAGTTACATGGAAGCCTGCAGTGCTTGGCAGTAAACAGCATCCCACGAAACTTAGCCGCCACAGGATCTGCATGTCTCTTCTTGCCAGTGACAAGGTTATACTCATGAGTGTGAGATGCAGCAAAAATATCAGCGTACGTACAGGGCACCCCGAGATGATCGTCTGTACATCGGACAGCTGCTCTTTCATGTTGATGTTTTCCTTTATCTAGAACACAAGGTTATATTGGGCAAACAAAGGACATGACATTCTTATTAATATGTTGTGACACCTGGTAAAGAGCTTGGTACTTTATAAAAATAACAATTTTCTGGACCCAGTGTTTTAATAACAGAAAAAGTCATTTCAGGGTATGATGTGCTTACACAGTATATAGGGAATAATGACTGCTTTAGTTACTGAGTCAGTAAAGTGACTTGATAGCTTAAAAACAAACTTTGGAAGCAAAAGATTTTACATTTTGGCTCTTTTCTTATCTATACAAATCCAAATTTTATATACTTTCACACTAGAAGAGGTGGTACTGGGGCTGTGACTCGGTGACAGAGTGCTGTGGATGATTGATTGATAAAATGCTGATTGGCCAGTAGCCAGTCAGGAAGTATAGACAGGACGAAGAGAGAATTCTGGGAACAGGAGGGCTGAGGCAGAGAGACACTGCCAGTCGCCATGATGTAAGTACCAGTAAGCCACAAGCCACGTGGCAAGGTATAGATGAATAGAAATGGGTTAATTTAAGGTGTAAGAACAGCTAGCCAGAAGCCTGAGCCATTAGGCCATACAGTTTGTAAATACTATAAGTCTGTCTCTGTGTGTATACTTGAGTCTGAGGGCCGTGGGAGCTGGGCAGGAACAGGATAGCTTCAGCTACAACAGAGTGCTTGCCTAGTATGCACAAAGCCCTGGGGTTGAGTCCAAGCAGTACATTGCCTAGGAATACTGGGGAATGTCTGCAATCCCAGTGCTCCAGAAATGAGGGAGACAGGAGGATCAGAAGTTCAGGGTGATCAAGTTCAAGCTAATCCGGGACACATTAGACCCTGTTTAAAACGAAGTGTGCGGGGAGCACTGTGACCGTACAGTTTTCTGGAAACATTGTCTCACCCTGTTTGGCTTGGAATAGATGCCTTTTATGTCCAAAATGTGTGAAATAGGACTTTGGATTTAACTTTAAAAGGGGAAAAGAGGACATCCTGGGTCTTCAAGAGAGACCACCACAAGAGCACAGAAACATTCTGAAGGGTACACATGAATATCGGCAACCCACCTGCTCTATGTAGTCTTCATATTTCTTGATTTGATCAATTGCAGTGGTCAGGTCCCCACGGTCTGTATGTCCTGCGGGAGTATGGAGTCTCAGAGCATAGAGCAGGTGAATATATTCTCCAAATCTCTGGGATGGGTACAGAAGCAGCTCTGGCAGGCTGTACAGGGCATAGGGTAGGGTGCCCTGGTTAGTACTTTTGATCATGGAGAATCTGCCCTTGAGTGCCCAGCTGTGCTCTCCCTAGAAACTCACCTCAGCATTCTGGTAACAATGGTCTTATCATGCCTCTTCAAGAAAGCTCGGAATGCTGGGGTCATTTCTCTGCACTAAAAGGTGAGAATTACGTTGTCAAATCTTTGCTCTGTCAGAGAGTTATAAAGCCTTGTGTTCCACCAGCAAGTAATGATCTATGGAACACCAAAGCAAGAAGGGAGTATCTCCATCTAATCTAAGTATCAATAGTACTATTCATGTGTTCTAATACATTAACTCCAGTATTTTAACTATGCCACAGATCTACCCATATCCATTAACTTAATCAATAGAGAGAAATGGAGATTTATAATTAAGATAGGATTGGACTATAACTAGAATAAATTGAGTAGGTGACCTTGTTAAGTTACCCAACTTTCTCATCTGTAAAATGAATGGAAGCTCATAGTGAGGGAACGGAATCCCACCCATTCAAGGGTCTGCCATGCAATAAATCCTACTTAATTTCTGTAATCACTGATAGTCACCTTTAATGCTGCTGTCAGTCATGTTTTCCAGAGTGATACTACAAAAGTATTCCACTATACTTAATGTCCATGTTAAATGCACTCATTTATCACCATGAGTATACCCGTGAAACTCTGTCCTTCCGTTCAGTGTGTACACGTCTAAAAGATGTCAATATTGCTAATGTCTGAGTCCAAGATTTGCTGATTTCAAGCCCCCCAAATACTGTAGAAAGAAGGCCACTTATACGTGCGAACAATTAAAGGACTTAACAAGATGTGGTAGTGTTGGAATAATCATGGCAGCTACCATAACTAGCTAAATGTATTGAGCAGCTGTGTGCACGCCTCGTGCTAATGAAGAAGGTATCAGTATTGGCCATGGCTATATAGGTTTTGCCACCAGTTTGTTTCTGATGCCACTCATTGCTCTGATTCTTGACCTCAAGGTCAAAAGTCATGGTCAAGGTGTCCACTGAGCCAACCTTGTGTGCCCTTTCCCCTGCCGTTGCAGCCGCAGAGTATTCAGAGCTCACAATCTTGCTCCGACTTGTTCAATGTCCTGTCACTAAGTGGCTGGAATGCATGAAAATTTGGCAATGTATATGAGGATTGCTACAGGTCAACTATCAGTTCCTGAGCTCTGCTGTGTGCCCACCGCTGTGTTGGTGTCCATGTCAAGGTCCCTGTCCTCAAGAAGCTCCAAGTATATGGGAGGAGACCTGAGAGGGAGCAGCTGAGAAGCACCCCTCCCCATTTACCTCAGTCTTTTGAGTTGTACAGTGTTAGCGTGGAGGTAACAGCCACTTACCTTCTCGATGGTTTTCAGAACCACTGGATAGTTGTTGAAGAAATTGGTATATGTGTTCAACTGCCTTCCAAACTTTATGAATATTTCTCCCACACAGTGGGCTGGGCTCCATTCCTGTAGTCTGTCTCTTAGGTTATCTAGAAATTCTCTACAACACGAGAAGATTGTATCTAGAGATAGCAACCTGTGAGAGCCTCCAAACATAAGCAATGAATTCATTGGTATAGGCTTTTCTGCCTAGTGTTTTGTGGTAGGACTTGATTTTGACCAATTGAGTGTTTTACCACAGAGAAGTCTGAATTTGACAGGATAACAGAGCTGGGCAGTAAGGGAGGAGGTTGGCTGTCCAGGATCCCATGTTTTACATTAATTTTTTTGTCAGAATCCAGCTTCCTACAATAGAACCACTTCTAAATGTCCCACCCTCAGAGAGCCAGAGCTGTGGACACTCTCACAGTCCTCTGAGGAGAATGGAGCCTTCAAAAGCTTCAAGGCCTTGGCCTTTAACCTTTAATTTGCATACAACCATAACTTGCATACAGCCCGCATACTCTACAGATCCAAGGTGACCCTTCTCAGCCATTCCAGGCCATGAAAACTGAAAGAGGTCTCATCAGCCTTGTAACTGGGTAGGCGCTGGGCCCAGAGAGATGAGGAACTCTCTCTCCAGATCTGTAGACATTGACTAAGACCAGCACTTGGCTCACTTAACCCTACCACAGGTAGAAACCACTGTTCTTCTCAATCTCTTGATACATATAGGAAACCCACAATGGAAAAGTTCCCTATTCCCATTGACTCCTTGTATTCCTGTCCTGTTACTCAGTTAGACGTTGTTGACTCTTTCCCATGGACTTTTGTGTGAGCAGTCTGTTAATTACAGAATGCCTCAGCATTGAACTCTTTCTTGCATTTGTGACCTGGGGCAGGGGTCGAATTGCTAGTGGTAGATGTCAAGTGACATGCAAAGGAGACGGACTCTCTGCTCTTCCAGGTAATGGGGTCCCCAAGAAGATAGAGAAGGCTGAGCCATGGTAAGACTTTTGAGACAAAATGTGCTCTTCCCACATTTTAAAGAATCCATCTTTAGGGTTTACCTGTTGAGATCTAAGATGCGTAGAATATCAGAGAAAATGATGTGTGTGTTGGCAGCACTCAGAATGGCTCTGTTTGAGGAGAGCGCTGCCCTCAGGGGCCTGGCGTACACATCCCTCACGATTCCCAGCATCTGCACATACCGTCTCTCGCTCTGTACAAGCTCCCTCACAACTTGGGTTCGTTTCTCTACTGAGTTCATCTTTAGCTTTCTCTCCTGTAGAAAACGTCAGGAATTCAGGAGAAATGTAGTGACTGAGGCCCTCAGCAAGGGCCCATAGCAAGACGCCTGAAGAGGAGGAAGAGGCAAGACCCAAAAGAGGCATCGTCTTAAGGGAAGGTGGCAATGGTATAGATCCAGAAGCCACCCAGCAGCTTAGTGAGCTGAGACAGACAGCTGGTGGTAGCCTACCCACTCTTGAATGTCTTCGGCCCTTTCTTTCTCATCCACTGTGATAGCATAAGGAACAGAACATGAAGTGCCCACTGTATGCACAAGCTTATTTCCTCCCTCCCCATACATAGCCAAAGATGTCTTGGTTGACATCAGATAGGGTGGGGAATACCCCTGTAAAATCACCCTTCCTCTGGGAGTGGCAGGAACATTCATTCAGCTCCTACCTTTCTGATCCGAAAGTGATTTTATGGTCCCTCTGTTAATAGAACAGCATAAAAGTCCTTACACACCTGTTCTATCAGACAATTTTAGTGTTCTTTTTGTTTTTCCACTTATCACTAGAAAACAAAAGACTTGTTTTTCTGGCCCTGGGGATTGAACTCAGTCCTGTACATGCTAGGCAAACTACATGTGAGCCTAAACCATCAGGCTCTGATCCTAGACCCCAACCTCCAAGGACAAATGCTTTTCCATACAATTCTTCTGTCTCCAAGTAGAATTAAATTTCTTAAAAAAAAAAAAAATCCTAGGCAAGACATGGGTACACATACCTTGGGAGTTCTCATGAGGCAAGAGGATTGTGAATTAAAAGCCAGACTAGGCCATATAGCAAACCCCGGTCTCAAAAAAAAAAAAAAAGAAAAAACAAGAGCCAAGGATACAACCCACTGGTAGAGCACTTGTATAGAGTGACACTCTGGATTCAAGTCCTAGCATGGCCAAAAACAATTAAAAAATAATAATCCTATCCAGGTATGGTAGTACAGGCGTGTAACCTCCAATGCCAGAAGGCTTGTAGCAGTTGCTACCATCTGTTTGTGATGACTTTCCCTGCTGATTTCTAGAAACTGGTCTGTAGGGAGAGTGAGAAACCATGTCCTAAGGGAAAGGCCTGCCCTGGACCCTCCCTAGGTGTGAAGGAGCTCTAAAAAATCTCTAAGTCCAAGCTCAAGGCTGCAGAACTCACACACATTTTTTCTCTCTGAGAGTCTAACCTTAGGTAAAGTCACTTAGGTTTTCTAACTCAGATGTTCATCTGTAAAACTGTGGATACTAACATCTTTGGAGTCTTTGGAAAAAGAAATGTAAACAAATGTGAAGCCATGTTGAATATTCCAAACTAATACATGCATGCTGTGCATTTTGGCAGCTGGAACAGTCCCTGCATGTCCGACATCCCCCTCTAAATGCTGTCCTTCAGCCCAGGGCAGAGCACTTCCTATATATTGACTAGAGTATGTTGTGTGATATTTTGATCACATTCTGACAATAAAGTTTCCTTTGAATCAGAGGGTGGAGCTAGCAACTAACTGACCAAAATTAACCATAGAAGTTTTGGAGGACTGAGAACAGTGAAAGTCAGGAAGTTGTAGGGCAGGGCTTAGGATTTCAGCCTCTTTGGATAGAGGAACAAGAGAGAAGGTCACTGGTCAATTCTTCACTGTTTCTCTGATCATTCAGGTTCTTACCCCATATCTGACTCCCAAGATTTTACTGATAAAGAATAATTAGATAAACACATTGAGAGTAAGCTTTTGAAGTTAGCCTGTAAGTTAGTGGGCTAATTAGAAACTGCAAATCTTCATGCCCATGTATCCTTTTTTTAAATGATGTCCTTAGTCATGGAAAATCATGGTGTCAGATACAAACTGGTTTTCTCCCAGATGTCACATCTCCATCCTTTGAATCAACTTCTGAGTCTATAGCATAGTTACAGGGGAAAAGAAAAATCTATCTTTTCCTCCAGTTCAATTAAGTAGTTGGTTGGTTGTTCCTCTCTTTAAGGGATGTTTCCAAAGAAAACAAAGAACTAACTATGGTAAATAATGACTTCCCTGTCAGTGGCAACACTGATAAGATCCTAGTTGGTAATAGGTGGCTTACCAGCTTAACCAGCACCTCCATGTTCAGGTCGCTTTGGCTTGGACTTGACTTTGTGTCCTGAGAACTGTCATCCTGAAGATGAAATGGAACTTGGTTACTTGGAGGTGGGTCCTGTGGTCCCTGAAAGCCCATTCAGTACTCTGCCCACACGAGCCTTGGGAAGCCATCTCCCTTCAGTTCTCATCACAGGGTCCCTAGGCAATGAATTAAGTGCTTGACAAATGTGGTGCCTCTCTTAAACTAAGATTTATGTTTTTAATAACAGCCTTTAGGGCAGTGGTTCTCAACTCCTTTGGGGGGGTCACATCAGATATCCTGCATGCCAGATATTTACCTCATGTTTCATAATAGCAAAATTACAGTTATGAAGTAGCAATGAAATAATTTCATGGTTGGGAGTCACCACAGCATGAGGAGCTATATTAAAGGGTCAAAGCGTTAGGAAGGTTGAGAACCACTGACTTAGGGGCTTAGGAGCTGGTTCAGTGGGTAAAAGTGCCCACATGTACACATGTAAGCCTAACCTTAGGAGGAAGAACTAGGAAGGTCACTGGGGTTTGCTGATCAGCTAATCTTTCTAGAACAGCAAGCTCCAGGCACAGTGAAGAGACCCTGCCTCAATAAAGATGGGTGGGTGGATGGATGGATGGATGGATGGATAGATGGATAGATGGATGGATAGAGAACAATAGAAAATACCACTCTGGTCTCCACACATGTACAATTTTGTGTGTACAAAATTTAAAAATATAAACAGCCTTTAGCTTCCTTTGAGCTACTATACCTAAAAACTAAATTCTAGCTTCTTCCCTGAAAGGTAGTGTGGGGGTCCTGCTCTTCAGGGCTCCTCTCAAGCTTAAAGCATCTCCACACTCCTGACAGTGGGCTTGACCTAGATGCTGCTTTTTCCCTTCACAGCTACTGGGAAGTGGCTTATCTCACTTTGAAGATGCTAGAAAGAACGGGCTCTAACACTTTATAAAATTCACCCTTTTTCAACTCATGATAAAGTGTCATAAAACAGTTCACATACTCTTCCAAGATTTGTCTGTTTTCACATTTAAATATGGCTTTTTCTCTCTTTATCATACCTTGCAGCCTGTCTATAAATTAGTGCATCAGAATTAAAAAGTCCCCTGGTTACCTGAGCAGCACCCCAGGGTCCCCTCTAGCAACAGAACAATAGCCCTATGTTCCTGTCAGAAGACAGCTGCTTTCACTACTCAAAGCTAAAACTCTTAGTGGAGATCCCCTGCTGTCCCTGGAAGAGGTTGGAGGACAAACATCCCCTTGTTTGAGGATTTGCTTGTCTTGTTTCCTTGAGACAGAGTTCCCAGTACCCTATACCTCTTTAGATTTGCTCTTTAGCTAAGGCTGACCTTGAACTCTTGACCCTTCTAGCACCTCCTAAATACTAGGATTACAGGCATGCACCATCAGGCCTGGCTATAAACATCAGTTTTCAACCAAGACTCCTTTTACTTTACCAGGAGAAAATGAGTGTATTCTGTTACTGTGTGGTTTCATAGAGCAGCTGTCAGGTCCAAAGACAACTTCAATTCCCCAAACTCCAAAAAGCAGTCCAAATATCCAGAAATGGACTCAACCTGAACTATAGGAGGATTTCTGGCTGTTAGATAAAAGCCAGAATTCCTCGGGAGCTTGTGAAACTGGTTCTCCTCTACGAAAAGGAGTCATTTCCAGTTACCTCCATCAGAAGGGACAAACTGGCTACCTGTGGTGCCTATTAGCATATCAAAGCACATGCTGGCCTCCAGGCTCCTGCAGTATCACAAGTGCCTGTTTCACATTTCAAAACCCAGGCTAGCATTCTAGTTTTTCCTCACCTCCTCCGGTACTAAACTCCCTCCAGCACATGGGCTCCCTCCCTCGGCAACTCACTCTCCTTATAACCCTGCTATTCTCATTCTCTCTCTCTCTCTCTCTCTCTCTCTCTCTCTCTCTCTCTCTCTCTCTCTCTCACTCTGCTCTGCTCTAGCTGTTCTCTCTCTCATATCTACAATAAAAACCTTCCCCTTAACTACACCATGGAGCAGTCATGGCAACAGTTTATAGCGGGCACAAACTTTGGCACAGGAGGTGGCCCCTGAGCAATAGCCATCCTCAGCTCTCTTCCTGGTTTGCAGTCCATACCCACTACAAAGCCTGTCTGCTCCAGGGCCTCTCTGCTCTTCCTTCCCATGTATGGTTGTCTCATGCCAGCCTGGTATATGTTTAGACTTTTGGCTTGGGGAGGGAGGAGCCTTTGAATTTTGAGAAAAAAAAGAAAACACACAAAACAACTTTAGAATGTCCCTGTGAGTAGAACACTCTTCGCTTTAAAGTAAATTACAGCACTAGTTATTTATAGCCAGGAAGCCATCACTTTGTCAACTCCTTGGAGACACCAGTGGCTCTGCAGGAAAAAGCAACTGCAGATGTAAAGTGAGAATCAAACTCACGCCGTCTCGAAATTAGGACAGCTGAAACCCTGCAGAATTAGACTGCCACCTCTCAGATGAGGTAGGTGCTCTACCGTGGAAAACCACCCACTATTGCTTAGTTCTCAGATGTCCCTCAAAGACCATGTGTTGAAGGCTTAGTCGATGCCCTGTAGCACCATTGGGAGGTGGGGCCTAGCCAAAGGACATTAGGTCATGGGGGGCACACCCTTGAAGGAATCTGGGGACGTTTATTATTGTCACTCATCTCCAAGATTGCACAATGTTAGTGTAAATACTACAGAAAGCCACACAGGCACACAGCAGCCCCGAGTAAGGACTGCTTGGACAGCAAGATGAGGAGGCCGAGGAGACAGAAGAGTGACTGCATTGGTTACTGTCCTATCACTGTGGCAGGACACCCAACAGAAGCAACTTAATGGAGAAGGGATTTACTGTGGCTCACAGTTTCAGAGGATCTCAGTCTATTGTGGTGGCAAAGGCAGGGTGGCTCATCTCCTACAATGGCCACTGGAGCAGGAGGTGATATCCACATGTCATGGACCAGAACCAGGTATAACCTTCTAGGGCCTGACACTAGTAACCAACTTTCACCAGGCAGGTTCCCAAAGACTTCTAAATGGTACCACACGCTGGAACTAAACACTTGAAACAAGAACCTGTGGGGACATTTCAGACTCAGTGTAATGACTAAGATGGGTGGGTGGATGGATGGATGGATGGATGGATGGATGGATGGATGGATGGATGAATATTAGACAGGCAGGCAGGCAGGCAGAGAAGAGAAGAGATCTGGATTTGATAGACAAGTCCTTATTGCACAAGCCCCTTCAGGACTTCCATCTGAGAGATAATCATTATTTCCATTCTTGTAACTGTGGGCTTATGAGCTCTTCTAAACAAATATCTATAGTTTTAAAACTAAGCCGGGCGGTGGTGGCGCACGCCTTTAATCCCAGCACTCGGGAGGCAGAGCCAGGCGGATCTCTGTGAGTTCGAGGCCATCCTGGTCTCCAAAGCGAGTTCCAGGAAAGGCGCAAAGCTACACAGAGAAACCCTGTCTCGAAAAACCAAAAAAAAAAAAAAAAAAAAAAAACTAAACCCTAGTGTGTGGAGATAGCCCCTTTTGGGGTGGTCTAGCAGGGTACACAGCAAAGGGAAGTGTCCAGCAGGTCTCCTGGGCCCTGCCCTGTGCTGTGCTCTAGGGATGCACTAATGAATTTCAGAGCATTGTGTAAATAGAGCAGCAGGTGATTCACCTGCTGGGGCAACTCAGAAGTCTATACCTATGAACAGTCTAGATGGGGACTTTGTATTGGGTGACAGCGTCCTAAGCCCTCAAATATCTTTTCCCTGGGTATAAGTGGTTCTGTAATGCCACTTTTTCTCCATGTAATAAATCAGTTCTGTGAATGACAATGAATTCTGATTATTTCGTGTAGCCAAGAGTGTGGGGGGTCCGAATCAAGCACTGGCAAAATTATTCTCTTGTGAAGGATTAGCTTCAGCCTTTTTTCTTTTATAAATTTGAATCTCAACTGAAAAAGGAGCAGGTCTTCTGTAGCCTGTCTTCTCCTGTCATTTATGAAACCCAGGGCTTGATCTCAGCTCTTCAAAAGCCTAGCACAGTGGCACACACCGGTGATCCCAGAAGCCAAGAAGTAAGGGGCAGGAAGAGCAAGAGTTCAAGGTCTTCCTCGGCTCCATGGTGAGTTCAAAGTCAGCCTGGGATACAGGAGACCTTATCTCAGAAAAACGAAGAGGAGGGAGAAGAACATGAAGAAGAGGAAGAGGAGGAAGAGGAAAAAAAGGAATTCTCTTCTTTCTTTGTTTTTTTGACAGAGTCTCATCATACAGCCCTGGCTGGCCTGGAACTTGAGACATAGACCAGGCTGGCCTCGAACTCACAGAGATCCACCTGCTTCTGCCTCCCAAGTGTTGGGATTAAAGGTGTGCACCCCGTTTTACTTAGTTTCATACACAACACAAAGGATCTTAGTCTGCAATTTTTTTTTTCTTTCAAGTTACCTCAGTTAGGACTCAGTTGAGTAAGTGGTGAGGCAAAATGCAAATTTGCAGCCCTCCTGCAGCAAAACACAGCTCTCAAGTCAGCAGAGGAGCTGTGCTCTGAAGTGGCTGAAACGCCACTCATGTTAAGTACCACGAAACACCCTATTTAACAATAGTCCATGACAGTGATCTTCCTGAAACAATTGGCAGCTGGAAGCTTTCCAGGAAAACTATCATCCTTCAGGAGAATCTCTTCCCCACAGGAGCCTCGCTTTACAGAGAAGCACCATGGCATGGAAAAACACAACAGCAACTTTTACCTTCGTGAATGGATCCGGTGTTACTTTTACGTCATGTTCTATCAGAATATCATTTCCTTCAAATTCCTCGCTCCTTTTACTAGATTTCTTCAGTAGGAAACATGACAAAAATTCCAGAGGTTTGTCCTGAGAAATGAACCCCACCCCCCAAAAAAAATCCTATTTAAAACTTTCATCTGACATATTAAATATATGACAGAAAAGAGAGCATGGGCTGGGTTCAGTTGGTAAGAGCCTGTGTGACCTTGAGGGCCTGAGTTCTGATCCCAGTACCAAAGGAAAACTGGACTCTGGTGTTACATACCTGTAACCCTGGGTAAGTGCTCAGATGGAGCCCCAGAACTCACTGGCCAGCCGGCCTAACGGAATCAGTGAGCTGCAGGGTTAGTGAGTGCCCCTGTCTTAAAACATGAGGCAGTAAGTGATCAATGAAACACCTGATGCCAACCTCTGCCCTGCAGACACACACAGACGTCACACGTCACACGTCACACACACGTACCAGGCTTTTTCTTTTGGGCCACCAAGCAGCTCCCAAATCATGACACAGAGACTCATTATTAGTTTTGAATGCTCAGCCTTAGCTTGGCTCTTTTCTGGCTAGCTCTTTTAAATTAACCTGATTCTCTTTATCTACCTTTTGCCTCGGGGGCTTTTTACTTTCTTTCGGTATATCTTGTTTGTTTGTTTGTTTGTTTGTTTGTTTTTCGAGACAGGGTTTCTCTCTGTGTAGTTTTGGAGCCTGTCCTGGAACTCACTTTGTAGCCCAGGCTGACCTTGAACTCCCAGAAATTCACCTGCCTCTGCCTCCCAAGTGCTGGGATTTTTATGGTGTATGCCACCACTGCCTGGCCCAAACTTTCTGTATATCTTACTTTCACTGCTTCTAGTGTCTGCTGGCTGGCGGCTCCCTGGCTTCTGGCGCCAGGCATATCTCTCATTCTCTTCTCCTTCTTCTCTCCTCCTCCCTTCCTCTGGAGCCTAGATTTCTCCTCCAATTTATTCTCTCTTCCTGCCAGCCCTGCCTATCCTTTCTCTGCCTAGTTATTGGCTGTTCAGCTTTTTATTAGACCAATCAGGTGCCTTAGGCAGGCAAGCCAAAACAAATATAATACATCTTTACATAATTAAAAGTAATATTGCACAGCATAAACAAATGTAACACATCTTTGCCCAGTTAAAATAGTATTCTACAACACACACACACACCAATGCCCACACATGCACTATACATGGATACATGAAAAAGAGAGGACACATTTTTAGCAGACTTTTCAGCTCTCTGCTTAAATCATACAACTAGAAAACAGAGTAATTGTTATTCAACTAATATTAGTAAATTTCTCATCATCCCATATTCTGGTTAGCAGATATACTCTTAATGCTCAGCTTTTTTCCACAATCCAAGTTCCTGGGGAAGGATCTCTCGAGATCTTTAGACTCAAAGTGGCTTACAACAACCCTTGGCTAGGTGAGGAAAAGACCAGAATGGATCTTGGGGTCTCTCAGGAGGGAAGCAAGCCTTGGAGAGGTGCAGGGCAGCAGCACTGTGAACACACCATGGAGTCTGCTTCCTTCTCACACTGTAGGTTGAAGCCTCATCAAAATTATGCCATCTATGGTTTTTCTTCCACTAAACATGTTTAGCCAATTGGTGTTTGAGAGAAAGTGCAGGATCTTTGCTGTGGGATATCTTTCTGTTTGCTGTGAATATGTGTTGCTCTGATTGGTTGATAAATAAAGCTGCATTGGCCTATGGCAGGGCAGGATAAGGTAAGGTGGTACATTCAAACTGAACACGAGAGGAAGAAGGGTGGAGTCGAAGAGATGACAACCCACCACCAAAGGAGCAACAAGATACCAGCAGACCTGTCCGCCATGGCCACTTGGCAACATATAAATGAATAGAAATGGGTTGAGTTAAGTTATAAGAACCAGCTAGCAAGAAACCTGACCATATAATTTGCAATTAATATTAAGCCTCTGAGTGATTATTTTATAAGCAGCTGTGGGACCACAGGGCTGGGTGGGACCGGAGAAACTTAACAGCTACAGATCTTTCCAGGCCTTTGGGTCACTAAATATCCATAATCAGTTCAACAGAGAAACTTGTCAAGGCCTTGACTCACTGGGTGTCGGGTTGGAGTACCCCTGAGCTGACTCTATGGCAGGAAGTCCATGACTAAGAGTAGGTCCACACAGTGTAGCTAAGCCTGCAGCTATCTGGTGCTGCCCCCAGAAAACCAAGGGAAACCAGAACAGACAAACAGCAGCAAGGGGAGGGAATGTGTGCAGAGATCACGTGGAAAGGGTAGAATCACCACAGGAGGAGGGAGTCGGTCCTTGAAAAGATCATACACAGCCCTGAGAATGCACCAATCATGGCTCCTTCCTCTTTTATTCTGACTTCCCCCCGAATGTCTGTTCATTTCCCTCAGCTTCACAGTTATCCTTGAGGCTGTGAGAAAGGGAACCTATGGACTAACCGTGTGTGTGTGTGTGTGTGTGTGTGTGTGTGTGTGTGTGTGTGTGTGTGTGTTAGGGTTTCTATTGCTGTGAAGAGACACCCTGACCATGGCAACTCTTACAAAGGAAAACTAATTGGGGCTGGCTTACAGTTCAGAGGTTTAGTCCATTATTATCATGGTGGGACATGGCAGCGTGCAAGCAGACATGGCGCTGTAGAAGGAGCTAAGATTCTACATCTTCATCCAAAGACAACAGGAAGTACACTGAGATACTGGGCCTGGCTTGAGCATATATGAGACCTCAAAGCCCACCCTCACAGTGATAAGGCCAGCAAGGCCATACCTGCTCCAACAAAGCCATACCTCCTCCAACATAGTGCCAGTCCCCATTAGCTTATAGGGGCCAATTACATTCAAACTACCACAGTGTGTGTGTATGTGTGTATGTGTGTGTGTGTGTGTGTGTGTGTGTGTGTGTGTGTGTGTGTAAGCCAGAGGACAATCTTGGCACTGTCCACTTTTTATATTAAAGAGGTTTTCTCATTGGTCTGGAACTCACCAAGTAAGTAATGTTGGCTGGCCAGAGAGCCCCAGGGATCCACCTATTTCTCCCTCCCTAGCACTTGAATTACAGGCATCTGCCACCACACCTCACTTGCTGGCACATAGGTTCTGGGGTCAAACTCAGGTCCTCACACTTACAAGGAAGACACTATGCTAGCTCCCCGGCCAACTAACCTCTTATAGTCTTCTGAAATGTATGCTGCCTTTCCTGGTAGACTGTCGGAGACGCCATGATAATACAAATGCTTCTTGAGACCCGCCAAGTCTCCCTAGCCCCCAAATGCTGCCTCGCCCGTTTTTCTTTTGGTTTTCTTTCCTACCCTTCCTCACCTAACCCCCTTTGCCCATCATCACATTGTACCTGTTTTCACGTGTTGTGGTTCCCCGGCTCATACTACTGTATAACGTTTATGTAGACTACAAGTTTTCTAACATATAAGGCCATGAGCGAATGAAATTAGAACTTGCTTCTGACTGAAATTAGGCACAAGACAGAAAACAGCACACAAATTAATAGGCTTTAAATAACCCAGGAGGTCTCCTGCTTCCCTGTTTTATACCCTTAGTAAATCACATCTTGAGTCTAGAATCTCTCTGTGTCTGCTTTTATAAACTGATATAATTTCTCTGAGGAAATGTGTCCCAGAGCAATAAACTGGTAAAAGGTAACAAATGTAAACTAGGGATTTATTTGTGCTGAAATTTGTCCCGTTTTCTTTCTTCAACAAAAACACTTACAGAGCCTTCTTTTGACAACTCCATCAGTCCATCGGCCAGAGCCTGTGCAGCATCTTGGTTCTGGAGAATGCTGGCCATACTCAGAGCATCAAACATAAATTGCCCTGAAATGTAAGGCACATACACTGTACTTAATTCATGCAAGCCATGTGATGGTAAAGAAAACAGTCATCACAGTTAGGTTTTTCAGTGGGCAACAATGCAAGGAACAGAACTACATTTTTATGATTGCCATGAGAAGCTCTATTATACAACGGGAAAGGAGTCGAAGCGATTTCAGTGTGGCAAAACCAACACTGAAATGGAATCTAAGAATTAGACAATAATAAGAGAAATTATGAATGGAACCTTGTATGTTAGATCCATGTACATTCTCCCATTTCCCCTCCCCTTGTGTTCAAATGTAAACATTTTAAATTTAAAGAAAGTAGTTTGCATACAATGGTATCTATCAAATTTTAATATTTTAATATCTACATGCTTTTACTGGAAAACAGCTTTTCCCATTGACTTCTCATTGCCAACATACTTTCATAAAAAAAATATTTACTTTTCCATTTTTCTATCTAATCTTAGTATCTATAAGAGAAAAAGGAGGAATTATTTCTCCTGGTTTATAGTTTTTGTTTTGTTTGGGGAGGTGTTTTGTTTGTTTGTTTTTTGAGACAGGGTTTCTCTGTGTAGCCCTGGCTGTCCTAGAACTTACTTTATAGACCAGGCTGGCCTTGAACTCACAGAGATCCTCCTGTCTCTACCTTTCAAGTGCTGGTATTAATGGTGTGTGTACCACCACTACCCAAATAAATAATTTTGTTTTTCTTTCGGTTTTTTTTCAAGACAGGGTTTCTCTACATAGACCAGGTTGACCTCGAACTCAGAGATCCACCTGCCTCTGCCTCATGAGTGCTGGGATTAAAGGTGTGCACCACCACCACCTGGCTGGTTTACAGTTTCTAAACTACTTAAGAATATTGGTTTAGCCTTTCCTAAATGTGATCATACAGGAAAATACAGGGGAAGATCTCCACATAAGAGGCATTTGTGAAGCAAAATGTAGAAAATGTACTGATGGACAAAATATCTGTGCTACACACATGTGCTACTGTTTGTATGCACCGAGGGAAAGGGAGGAAGACATGGGTCTGTAGTGTTCAAATGATACTGTCTTAGTCAGACGGAATGTTTAAAATATGAAGAGATGGTTAGGGATGAAGGGGGACATATTTACCCAGATGGTCAAAGTGCTTCATTTTAAAGAATGGACTGGTTTAGTCTGTGATTTAATGTTGAGAGCACATTATTCCACAAAGATTATTATGGTACGTTGATCAGGGGAATGGAGTGGGAATGGAAAATTGATTCCGTGTTGTCCAGCAGGCTCATTAAAAGACCATGGAAGCCGGGCGGTGGTGGCGCACGCCTTTAATCCCAGCACTCGGGAGGCAGAGCCAGGCAGATCTCTGTGAGTTCGAGGCCAGCCTGGACTACCAAGTGAGTTCCAGGAAAGGCGCAAAGCTACACAGAGAAACCCTGTCTCGAAAAACCAAAAAAAAAAAAAAAAAAAAAAAAGACCATGGAACCCAGCACCAAGCTGCATATTTTATTTCATTTTTTGAGGAGAAAATTGTAATATATAATTTATATGCATATTTGGAGGGGAACCCAAATGGGCTTATCTGCCTGAGGCATCTGGGTCAATTATGTGTTTTAGATACTAACTGAACTGTAGAACAAATTGCTGGGAAATGTCTTTCTGTATGCTGTAAATATATGTTGTTCCCATTGGTTGATAAATAAGCTGCTTTGGCCTATGGCAAGGCAGCTTAGAGGCAGGCAGGAAAGGAGAAAGACAGGAAAAAGAAAGGCAGAGTCTAGGGAGACACCACCCAAGGAGCAACATGTAATGGGACGCAGGTAAAGCCATGGAACATGTGGCAATACATAGATTTATAGAAATGGGTTAATTTAAGATATAAGAGCTTGCTAGCAAGAGGCCTTCCCTAGACCATACAGTTTGTAAATAATATTAAGCCTCTGGGTGATTATTTTATAAGTGGCTGTGGACCATGGGGCCGGGTGGGACCAGAGAAACCTTCCAGCTACAACAAGTTGTATAATAGACGCCATGAGTAAGAGTTGCTTAACTGCTAGAAGGTCATCGTGGCAAAAGATACGGTTCTCTAACTGGGCAAAAGCAAGTTCTGTCCAGGGCAGATGGGCTGCCGTATGGACCAATAAGATGGAGACACCTGAAAACAGGAGTCAGCTCCAACATTCTGAGCACGGCTAGTTTTCTCTTGAGTATTTGAAAAACCAAGCATGTGTTACAGCTGGGTTTTGCTTATGCCGTTCTCGGTCTTGAATTTTCTCAGGTAATAAATAAGCTCTGGCCTGATCTGCAGCAGAAGTGTCAGAGATCTTACCTATGATCTGGCCACTGATGCTCTTCTGCAAGTTCTTGAAGAGTGGATGCAGCTCCTTCCTCACTGATTTCAAGGTGTCTTCCAGGGAGTCTGTGAAGCTGGACCATGCCTGCAGCTTGGACTCACTGAAGTAGTTAGAAGGAGGTGGTCTGTCCTGCTGTGCCCCCAGCCAGTCACTAAGAACTGACAGGATTTTTACTTTTATTATTGAAGACTTGAGATCACTGCATGCGTATGTACATACATATGTACGTACCTTGTGTGTGTGTGTATGTGTACAGGTGTACATGTGTGTGAATGCACATGTGTGCACTTAGATGTAGAGGTCAGACATCAACTTCAGGGGTTGTTTCCCAGGTGCTGTCTACCCTATTATTTGAGACAAGGCCTCTCATTGGCCTTGAGCTCTCCAAGTAGCTCAAGACTTGACCTGAAGCAGGGGATTTCTACTTTTTGTTTAAAGTACAACCAACTCAGCTGTCTTTATACTGGGCACAGTGTCCCTTCTTGGGAGAAGATAAGCAGCCACAGCCTGCTTTCGGGGGTAAAATAAGAAACTCGAAAAGGACACAGTGAATGCCCGTCTGTTCATGGCAGATAAGGTTGACATGCTCTACTTGAAATTAGAAATGAAGTCGCTGCCTGGTGCTTTGGGAAGCCGAGTGGATGGATGTAAGTAAGAATGTATCTCTCCATTCTAAAAGTGAGAATTCTTCCTACTCAGCACTTCCCACGCCCCTGCCAAGCCATTCAAGGCCAACCCACAGCAGCCACTCCTGCCTCTCTCGAATTACGGGGAACTCAAAATATTCCACACGGCTATAGGGGATGGGTAAGAAAGTTAGTCTCCTTGCAAAGCAACTACATCGTGATGGAGTGGCCCACTGGTTTGGTGTTGCTGTTGTTTACCCGAATGGATAGTAAGATCCATTTGTTCCTCCTGTCACTGACAAGCCTGTACAACACTCTCTAATGTGTTCTTTCACAAGCAGAGTAAGAAGAAGAAACCACCGAAAGAGAAAAGGACAGGGCGGACGACAGGGTGCAAGCCTTGCTGCGCTGAGCTGGGCAGCTCTCCCCACAGAGCCTCAGGCGCCATCGTTTGCTGATGTTGTGTGAACTACAGTGAAGCAGCCGTGTCTGCTTCAGAGCTCTGGGAACTATGAAGTCAATGTGCTTTCTGTTCCCCGACACGGGATCATTTCCCTTAAAAGTGTCCCGCTCGTGCCAACTCCCCCCAGTCACGAAAGGCCTTTGGGGATGAAAGCATCGGGGTTCGTAGCATTTCCAAGACAGGCCAAGCCCTGTCTGGTAGGCTGAGGGGAGTTTTCCATGAGAAAATGAGGAGTGACATTGCAGGACAGCCGTGTGGTTCTCTGGTCAGCCAGTGTTCCGTTTTTATCCAATGTTAGTAGCTTTTTTGTGAAGGTGTATACGCAAGTGCAATTTCTCTTTTGATCCATTTCCCTTCTTGATCATGCTACTGTGAGGGGGCTAAGCCAAGCCCTTCTCCAGCTCCTAAGGCTTCCTTAAGGCTTCAATTTCTGTTCCCAAGTAAAACCAAATCCATTCTTTTTTTTTTTAAACTAGGAAAACACATTCTTTCTCTAAATCAGCAACTGGGCAATTTTGATGAACTCTTTAAAGAGGGTTTTAGTAAATGATGGCTTGAAGCAAAATATTTGCAGCAAATAAAATCCTCCTCTAAATGAATGACTCAGTGACGTGAAAGGACACATTTATAGGACAGTTCCCTTGAGAGAGAGAGTAGCAATTGCCGTAGGTAGACCAGGATGGGTGTACATCGGCAAAGGTAAGTAAGGGTGTACAGCCGCTGCTTAATGATGAGGGGAAATGAGACAGAGGGCATGCTTTCCTAGTACTTGCCCTTCAGTGATGCTGAAGCAGCCGTATGTTACTGGGCACGGCAGCCAGCTCTCAGATACACACTTACTGTGTTGGTATGAACCAGTTGCGATTCCGGTGGGGGCCGAGAAGAACGTGCCAGTTAGTTGAGACAGCTGAGAAAGGACCTCCATGCCTGCCTCTGCACAGTCCAAAAAGCTTGCATTAGTTTACGCACAGGGTTCTCCAGAAACAGCCAGATATTACTTAGAAGCATGGCAGAGCTGGCCGAGAAAGACCACAGGCAATTGTCATCTTCAAGTCAAATCCTTCTGTCAAAGAGCCCATGAATGTCTCACCTTTATCCCTACAGACTGATGTCCAAACACCTAATTTGTGTTATCACAAATAAAGCATAAATAAAGGATAAAGCAATAAGATGTGGGAAGAGGGCATGCAAATGCTTACCTGCAAGTTTGGAATACTTAAGCCAAAGACAGAGAAAACCTCACAGGGGTTTCCTAAAATAATCTGAGTAAAGGAGAATTGTCATTGAAAGTGGACAGGGTTGAGAGAGATAAACATAGGATTCAACAAAATAGTCATGGTTTAATGTGGTGTTAATTTCTCCCCTTATTCAGTGACATAGATTGGAATATAGAGTGGACTGTTGAATTCAGTGAATAGATTGAATTACTTGAGAAGAAACTTACATAATGGATGGGATATTTTAATTCTCTCTTGTCCAAAAATAAATACCCTATTGCTTCTAGGAACAAGATGGTAGAAGCTGATGGGCTTAGATGCCTAATGTTTTCATTGGTAATGAAATCAGGGAGTCCACAAGAGTCCACAGACAGAGTGGACTAAAGTCCATATCATCAATTGATTGCAGTAAACTTGCACGTAAAGTGGGGGGGGGGGGGGGCTTCCTTACAAGGAATGGTGTTGGGAAAATAGGTACCCATATGTAAAATAAATTAAATTTCAACCCATGTCTCATATTCTGAAATAAATCAAATGGGCCACCGATCTAAATGGCAAACTTAAACTCCTATGAAGTGCAGGAGGAACTCTTTATGATCTTTGATTGTGCAAGGAATTTAGAAATACAGGGACTGGAGGGATGGCTCAGAGGTTAAGAGCACTGGCTTCATTTCTAGAGGATCTGGGTTTGGTTCCCATACCTACATGGCTTCTGACAACCTTGTGTTAACTCCTGTTCTGGAGGATCTGACGCCCTCTTCTGGCCTCCATGGGCACTACACTACTTTTCAAAATGGGCGAGATCCTTGAAAGGACACTTGAGGAAGATTTTTAAATGGTGGATAAATATAAAACGATGCTCGGCGTCATGACTCAGTAGGAAACTGCACATTAGAACCACCATGAGACACTTCTCTATCCACTTGAATGGCTAAAACTAAAATAAATATCACTGTGTTGAGCCATGCAGCTCTCAGACATACTCTCTAGAAAAGTAAAGGTGCACAACCACTTTGTAAAAGTTAAGTGTCCACCACTGGGGTCTTAAATACCTTAAAGAAGTGAATGCACACGTTCCCACGTGTGCTCACAGCAGCTTCACTTATAAAATACATTGTATAGATGAACAAATTATAGTATACAGTGTGGTGGTACTTCGTGCTATAATTACAGTGGTAAAAAGGAATGAGCCATTGATCCACGCATTAAATGGGTTCATTTGTGAAGGCATTTCAGAAGCACACAAAATAGAACCATAAGTAGACATGTCCCCTGCCTTTCTAGAACGTTGATGCTGACCTGATGCTCCAAGAGGCACAAAAAAGTCTACACGTCCCCCTTCTTCTTTGGTGGCCACACAGCTTCCTAATTTCTCCCAGAAGTCCCTCACTTCAGGCGACAATAAATTTTTAATACAAATTTTATAGCCTAAGGAAAAAAATTGAAATATCAATATTGGTTTGTTACATCATTATAAACAGAAACTTTTAGCAGTCTGTGAAGATGAAAACCACAAGTTCAAAACACAGTATTTACCCTTAAAACTAAGATCTCCAGGGCGCCTGTGCTTCACAGAGCACCATGTTAAGCCAGGTGGTGGTGGCGCACGCCTTTAATCCCAGCACTCGGGAGACAGAGCCAGGCGGATCTCTGTGAGTTTGAGGCCAGCCTGATCTACAGAATAAGTTCCAGGAAAGGTGCAAAGCTACATAGAGAAACCCTGTCTCGAAAAACAAAACAAAACAAACAAACAAAAAACAACAACAGAAAAACAAAACAACAACAACAAAAAGCACCATGTTAGGGCCACAAAAAGTGCCGTTGAACAGCACTGTGGCCAAAGGGTCCTTTGCACTCTGTATTAATGAGGTGTTAGACACTTAGGTTTTGGTCTTTGTGTTTCTGCCTTCATTATGCAGCTTCATTGGGAGTCACCAATCAGAATTTGAGCAGAGTTTAAGGTGAATGGCCGGTCAAGCCCTGGGATCCTGCAACTGATTTCCAAAGTAGAAAAAGCTCCCGCAATTGTCAATGAAAAAAATAAGGTCTAAGCAGAAATAGGGCTCTCAGAGTTGGCCAACATCACCTCTAAGTCTCCTTTACCCCTACTTCCTCGGGAGTGATTTGTGACTTGTTCTGCCGTGCTGCGGAATATTCCTTCCCACAGTGTGAAGATGTGTCACTGTGATTGGTTTAGTAAAGAGCTGAGTGGCCAATAGCTAGGCAGGAAGAGTCAGGCAGGACTTCTGGGAACAGAGAGTTCTGGGAAGAAGAAGGCATTGTCACCAGCCAGACGCGGAGGAAGCGGGATAGGCAGTACAGAGTAAAGGTAACTGAGCCATGGAAAAGAACATAGCATAAAAAATATGGGTTAATTTAAGCTATTAGAACTAGTTAGGAACAAGCCTAACCATGGGTCTAACCTTCGTAGTTAATAATAGGTCTTCATGTCATTTTTTGTGAGCTGGCAGCCCAAAGAAAAAGCTTGCTACACTGCCATTATGCAAGTTCCCTGGAAGCTCTCATCCCACATGGATGGAAGTTTTGATGTTAATAAAATTAAAACAATTCTGCTTTAAATATAAGAGGATAGATACTAGAAGTTTTCTTTTCCTTTCTTTTTTTTTTTTTTATTTCGGGGCTGAGGACCGAACCCAGGGCCTTGTGCTTGCCTAGCAAATCCCATATCTGGAAAGGAATTAATATCCATAACATACAAAGAATGTCTACAACTCAACCTATTCAAAAAATCAACCCATGGGGTTGGGGATTTAGCTCAGTGGTAGAGTGCTTGCCTAGCAAGCGCAAGGCCCTGGGTTCGGTCCTCAGCTCCAAAAAAATCAACCCACTTTTTAAGAAGCAAAGGGCTGGTTTTCAGAAAATACAGAAATGGGCAGCAAGCACATGACAGATGTTCAGCATCGCTCATCAACAGACAGGCAAATCAAGACACAGTGAGACTGGAGACTGTAAAAACAAAACCCTTCACAAGTAAATGGCGCAGAGCCCTTGGTGTGTATACTTGTACATTGTTGACAAAATCATACTTAGGGGTATACCTCCATAATCATGGAAAGCAAGGGCAAAAGAGGTTTGTCGTTCTTCTTGACAGTCAAGAAGTAGTAGCAACCCTAAAGACTACTAGTGTGTCAAGTGGTAAGCAACCTGGAGCACATACATGGAGTAGATTAGTATTCGGCCTGAAGAGAGAAAGAAGTCAGTTGATACAGTGTATGAAGCCTGAGAGTAGAAGTGAAAAAAAAATCTAGTCACAAGAAGACTAAACAACTGATTCCATTTCTGTATTTAAAGGGCACGATGGTTATGGGGGCAGCGCTAGGGGAGGAAGACAGATGTTCCTTAAGTTTCAGTGCAAGATGGGAAAGCTTTACAGGAATGTGAATGGGGCAGTGGTGGTGCACACCTTTAATCCCAGCACTCGGGAGGCAGAGGCAGGTGGATCTCTGTGAGTTCGAGGCCAGCCTGGTTTACAGAGTGAGTTCCAGGAAAGCCAAGGCAACACAGTGAAACCCTGTCTCGAAAAAAAACAAAAAACAAAAGAAAAAAGGAATGTTGACTAAACAAACTGTATACTTATAAAGGATTAAGATTACAATCATTATGCTGTGATTTTTAATCACAGTATTTAAGATGATCATAAAAAATCATCAAAAGTTACTTTACTTTCTTCATGCAGGCAAAATGGACCTTTCCTAGTAGATCAGAATTTAACAGCACTATGACAGTCACATTTGTGGATAAGCCTGCAGACACTCAGGCTGGGGGACTGCTGTTCTCCTCCAGTCCCCAGACCAACCTTGGAGTAAGTCAATTTCTCTGCTGTTTCCACCGCTAAATATTCCCAGGCTCTGTGCCTTCCGCCCTTGCAGAGCTCTGTCTACGAGATGAAGCAGGCCCTCCAGGGTCACACCACTGTGTTCGTACAGGACGGTCACGACACCCACCTTCACGCTCTCCACCACCATCTAGAAGTGAGAGCATGATACGAGCTTTAGAACGAGTCAAAGAACCGCGGTGATGTACAATGCGCGATCACTGCTACAGAACTGTTTCAGAAAGCACAGAAGGAAGAAACCAGACTCTCACTAGCTTCTTTATTCCGTCTCTAATTATGAGGGACATACGAGGTTCATTTGCAACGCCATCATGCAGATCAGTAGCACTAACGATTTACGTTATTTTTCTTCCGGCCTATTTTGGTACATACCATACAGACTTAGGCACAACTTAGGAAAAACAATAAAATTGAATTAGTTCTGTCTTGCAATGGACTTAAGTAGATTTTAAAATCTTCTAGTCATATATATAATTAAAATACATAACTTCATTTCATTTCATTTTATTTTTATATGCTGAGACAGTCTCATTATATGGTCCTAGCTTACTTGATACTCTCTCTGTGGTCCAGGTTGGCCTCAAACTTGAATCTATCTTCTTGCCTCGGCCTCCTAAATACTTGGATTACAGGTACACACTACTATACCTAGCTATAACTTCACTTTATAATGATCATATTTTAATGGCATTGTTTTTAAATAGATCCTAAAGTAGTACTTCTAGCCCACTTTTGAAAACTATTGGTCACAAAGTATTATTAAACATCTTGGGAATTCTGGAAGAGTCTTAAATATTTTCAATCACCATGCTGGCTGATTTTTTTTTTTTGTTTTGTTTTGTTTTGTTTTGTTTTTCGAGACAGGGTCTCTCTGTGTAGCTTTGTGCCTTTCCTGGAACTCACTCTGTAGTCCAGGCTGGCCTCGAACTCACAGAGATCCGCCTGGCTCTGCCTCCCGAGTGCTGGGATTAAAGGCGTGCGCCACCACCGCCCGGCACTGGCTGATTTTTTAATAGCAACAAGTTCAATCCAAGAGGAGTGTTTTGACACCAACTGCACGCACAGCAATTTGGACCTCTCATGCTTTTTCAAAATAAGTTTGATTACTTTTATCTTTATCGTTTTCAGTTTTTAAAACTGTATGGGGTCTTGTAAAGGTTCACTTGATTGGACAATTTTCCTTTCGGGAGATGAATCATTTTCACACACATGGCAGCCAAAAGATTTCATGAGTTTAGATGGAAAAAAAAAAAAAAAAGCCCCTCAGGAAAGGGCGAGCCTCCTAGCACAGCGGTATACCTCATAGGCAGGAATTCGTGATGAGATCAGGATGACATGTGTCTGCAAAGCACCAGAAGAGCTGCCATCAGTCCTACCAACGCCACGGTGATTTTTCTTTAATAATAAAGGGTAGGAGTGACTTCCAGAGAGATTGCTTCTGTAGGAGACAAGAGGGATGGATGAAATCCTAATGTTCTGCTGACATGACTTTTGATAAGTGCCAACATCCTCTGAACACTGATGGGCAGCCAATGTCCCTGAGTTCTCGACTCTCCTAGCAGTCTGAGGGATAGTGACAAATAGGGGTCCCAGGTTGGTAGGGCCGCATTGTCTCTCCCCTTCCACAAGAGGAATGCAGGCAAAGCTTCTCGTCCCTCACTTAGCTTTTATTGGGCCCTTAAAATAAATACTATGATACACCTAAGGGTTCTAAACTATATTTTAAAAGGGGTAGCCAAGCGATTCCTAATTCACTTCTGGCCTTTAGGGGTTCCTGAGTAATGTCTCCATTCTCTCCACAGCCCCATTCCCACATTACCAAGGACAAGAGATGCCCTATGCTTCTTAAAATTCTTTATGTGCCTTTGGGCGAGTGAAACATAATTCCACACTCACAAATGTTCCAACGCAGATCTGCACGTGGTGTCAGTGTGAAGCTGGAGGAGTGGTGGAATGTGAGGATTTAGTCATATTATGTTTTTATATTATGTTTACATTATGACAATTGGGTAAGTTATGTCCCTGATCTAGAGTCTTCATTTGAAACGTAAGTGTAGAATCCAAAGTGCAAAGCAAAACAAACCTTTTTTTCTTAGTTTCTAAGCATCTGTGCGAGTTGTGGAAGTCACAAGCATCAGATAGGAGAGGTAGATAGAATAAGAACTGAGTCCTTGGGGCTGGAGAGATGGCTCAGCTGTTAAGATCACTGACGGCTCTTCCAGAGGACCCAGGTTCAATTCCCAGCACCCACATGACAACTCACAATTGTCTGTCACTCCAGTTCCAGGGGATCTGACACCCTCACAGAGACATGCAGGCAAAACACCAACACACATAAAACAAAAAAAAGTTTAAAAAAAAAAAGAACCGAATCCTGGCACTGTGCACATATATTGTGACTTGAGTCACTGAAAACAGCCAGAATTTCTCTAATTTTAGTAGGAGAAGAGTATTGTGTTCAGATTTACAAATACAAGGGGAGTTTTGTCCAGATCTGTCTGGATGCTTCTGTAGTTTGGATCTGCAGTTTTCCTCAGGTACTAAATGCCATGGTCACCAGTCCATGGTGCTCTTTAAAGGTAGGATGGATATTTAGAAGGTGGGCCTAAGAGAAGGAAGTTGGGTCGTCGAGGGTGTGCCTTTGACAGGAATAGTGGGACCCTAGGGACTTCCCCTTTCCTCTTCACTTCCTGGGCACCATAAAGGGAATAAGCTTCTCCTGTCATGTGCATCCACCATGATGTTCGTGCTGCTACAGGCCCAAAGCAACAGAACCAACTGGTCATGAAGCCACGGGCTCAAATAGACCTTTCTTCTTTATAAGCTGATTTATGTCAAGCATTCGTTAGGACAGTGGAAAGATGACTAAGAAAAACGCCATGGTTCCTTTTACTCCATAAAAAATGTAGGGAAATGTCATTTTTGCTCAACAGCTTTAGAAAATATATGATATCTGCAATATAACTTTACCATAGGGTTAAAAGAATATTAGACATAAGTTTTGAACATTCCATATTTTCCTCTTCAGAAAGCATTTAAAGACTGCTATTCTTGAACATTAAGTCACTGATTCCTTCTCTGACATTTCTTTTGTTTTGTTTTGTTTTTTTATCGAGACAGGGTTTCTCTGTGTAGCTTTGCGCCTTTTTTGGAACTCACTCTGTAGCTCAGGCTGGCCTCAAACTCACAGAGATCTGCCTGGCTCTGCCTCCCAAGTGCCCAAGTGCTGGGATTAAAGGCGTGCACCACCACAGCCCTGCTTTTTTTTTTCTTTCTGACATTTCATAGAATACAAACCATCCAATTACTGAAGATCCCTGTGTTGACTGAATAATTCTATAATGAATTCTTCATAACACAGGAGAGTCTCGAGCCCTCAGTAGGTAGAAGTTTGCTCACCGCTTAGGCAAAGCATCTAAAGATGCCAGAACAAGCTGTCTTTCCAAAGTTTCATAGAATCCTGCTCCATCCCTCCCCATCTGAGGACCACGGGGTAGGCTCGGGGACTTCAGTATCCTGGAGCACGTTCCACTCAGCCAAGGGGGTCGAGCTTTGAATAACAATTCTGAAAAACAAACAGCAGCAGTCTTCCCATTTACACCATATTTTCCCAGCCAAGCTGACACAGACCAAGACATCAAAAAGAAAACTACTCCAGGGCAATATTCCAAACAATAATCATAGTCACTTGCACACACTCCTGTAGGATTTCTTATTCACTCTCTGTCATCTGGGGTTAATCAGCAAAGCTCAGAGAACAAGAAATACTTCTTGTGAGGACCAAATAATCAGCCCATAGGTTTGATTACCTTTCTGTCCTTGTCTGGGTGTAATTTCTCATTTGTTTCAATCTTTTCAGGGAAGAGTGAGGGAAAAGAGAAGGGTGAGCCCAAGCCAGGTGACAGTGTGTTTTAAGAACATGTGCGCATCAGAGGCTTCCCCGAGCATACGCCCCATCCCTGTTTTCCTCTTGCCCATCAAAGCAATTGCTCTTCTTGCTCTCAACCCCATGGTCACGCCTCTTTTTCACCAGCCCCAATTCTTCTGTCCTGAATTTACTTCTTGCTTTTGCCTGTGTTTGCACTTCCTCCTTTTATGTGTGAATGGGTGGGGGGAGAGGCCACATGCATGTGCACAAGCGTGTGCACAGATGTATGGGTGCAAGCACACAAGTGGAGGTTAGGGGTTGACTCGGCTCCAGGGGCTGGCCAGGAAGCTCCCAGAATCCTCCTGTCTCTGCCTCCCTAGAACTGGGATTACAAGGCACATATACCCTAGCTCAGGGTACTTCCCCCACCCCCATGTGGGTACTGGCAATTTTACCTCAGGTCTTCAGGCTAATATGGCAAGCATGTCAGCAACTGAGGCATTTTTACCAGGTTCCTTCTTGGTTTATGCTCTGACAAACCTAGAAGTAGACTGCTATGGAGGCAGATGCTTGACCTTAGATATTTCATCTGAAATTCTTTTTATTACCAATTAACTGAAAGAACATAATAAAGAAAGAAGGAGCTGGCCTTGAGCATATGCTGATGAGTAACCCCACATGCTCTCCTTCTAGACGGGAACCTGTATTTAAACCCATTTGTTCAGCGTCCGCGGGTAAGACAGAAAGTTTTATAATGCTACTCACTCTTCCGGAATGCAATGTTCTCCCAAATGATTTTTCTCAGGCACTTTTCTCTTTGTCTCTCCTGGAACTCCTCATCTTCTGGTTTGGGTTCATTCAATGTTCCATACACAGCAGCAGCCTCCCTGGGCGTTAGCCAGTCCAAGCTGGACACACAAGCAATGTAGTGGTGTTTCCAAGCTCCATATTCATTCTGTGTTGGCGTATAGGGCAGAAACCATCCAAACTTGGTGCACTTGGGCATCCATAAGCAATCCTTCGGGAAAGAACAAGAGAAAGATGGGTGGCACATTTCTAAGTGATAGTTTTCTAACAATGGCAGTTTCAGTCACATACACGTTAGTTTTTGGTAGACTGACATTTCTAGTATTGTTGACTGAATGTCTAAACTTCAATCTACAAAAAGTATGAAGTATCTTTTATTCCATATGAAGAATGTTCTTTGGTGAATATGCATTACATTATATATGAATATATAATGCATATATATGCCATCTTGTGACACTTATCCAGCATTCCTATAGCATTCTGTTACTTTAAGTCTAGATGATGAGTATTCAAGTACAATAGTTTCCTTCAAACCAACCCTCCCAGAGGAGAATTTTTATTGAACTCATATTGTCAAATTGCAACAATTTTTGACATATTAAAAAACAGTGACTTTCATGTGGTTCACTGAAATCACAATCTAGACAAAATATAAAAAGTTGGTCACAATGGCATGTGCCCATGCACCTGTACTCCCAGATCTTTGGGAGGCTGGGGTAGGAGGTACACTGTGAGCCCAGGAGTCCTAGGGCATCCTGGGAGTCATAGCAAGACCTTAAAAGACACACTGTGTGTGTGTGTGTGTGTGTGTGTGTGTGTGTGTGTGTGTGTGTGTGTATACATTGTAAAACTACCAGTGCAGTAAAAACCTTGTGCCCTCAAGATCTCAGAACAAAAGGAAAGCCAGACTGACTTCAAGGCGTTTGCCAGTTCTTGGCTTTTTAATTCAACACATAGCATAACTGAGAATGATCTTGAATTTCTGACCTTCCTGCCTCCGTCTCTGGAGTGCTGGGATTACAAGTGTGTACCACCATACCTGGTTTATGCAGTGCTGGGGACTCACCCCAGGGTCTCAAGAATGACAAGCACCCTATAACTGAGTACTTCCCCAGTCCACATTTGGCAATTTCAAAGTAAAGTGTGCTTAGGCTGAGAAGTAGGCCACGTGGCTGTAGCTCAAAGATTCAGAGCGCTAAAGAATTGGAAGAAAGGAGGAGAGAGAGAGGAGAGTGAGAGAGGAGAGTGAGAGAGGAGAGTGAGAGGGGTGAGAGAGAGAGAGGGGAGAGAGAGAGAGAGAGAGAGAGAGAGAGAGAGAGAGAGAGAGAGAGAGAGAGAGAGAGAGAGAGGAGAGGGGGGGAAGGACACAATCTGGAATTCAGGGCTCACCACTGCAGGAAGAATAACACTAAGTTATGCAAACTATGACAAAGACTGAGGCCGGCTTTGAAATAGCTCGTTCCTTAATGGGATTTGCACGGTCAGTTGTTGGCCTAATCCCATGCTAGAAGCAAAAGTAAATTCTCTCTGGAGAAAGATGACATCATCCAGAGACCCAGATGATGACATCAGTGTTTTATGCCCAGTAACTGCATTCAACCAAAAATAATTTGAATACTCAGAAAGACAGGAATTCTTTGTTTGTCTTTCAGTATTTAGTAACTATAGAGAGTCCTGACGAAGAGCCAAGCGTTGCTATTATGAGACATAAACTTCGAAAAAAAATCCTATAATTAATATGCCCAGGAATATTGAGAGGCCAAATGGAAAATGTTGGCAACAGAAGCCAATCAATATTCTAGGCCTGGAAAATATAATAACTTAATTTTAAAATTCAATAAACAGACAAGAGCACATTCGAATCCAGCTAAAGACACAGAAAACTGAAAGACAGATCAGAAGAAAATCCTGGCATAAACACCGAAAGCCAAAATGATGGAAGACTCGCATAAGAGACTGTGGAGCCAGGCTTGGTGGTACACTCTTATAATCCCATCTCTCGGGAGGCATACCGATAGATACACACATACATACACACACACACACACACACACACACACATATATGCAATTAGTACTTACATACATGGAATTAAATATGATAAAAATAAATCTCTAAATAATAACATATATGGAGGAATTTAAAGTATCCAAGAGGACTGATTACATGTAGATACACCATTGTATATAAAGCTCTCGGGCAGCTGTGGATTTTGCTATTATGGAGGAAAAGGGATGGACTGTATCCGATCTGCTACAGGTAGTCAAGGACAACTGTACATTTGTGATATATGTATACGCACATATTAAAAAGTATGACAAAAAGGCACAAAAACAGAGGGAGTGTACACAGTTTAAAGGGCCTAAGGTCCTGGCGTTGTCTTCAGAGTAATCGGATAACAGAGTGCGTGCGATGATCTCGGATAATTACAGAAAAAAATATTTAAAACTTTGAAATGAAGAGTAAAAATATTTATGCAGTCCAAAGGAAGACTTGAGTAGAATAAAAACAAAACATGAGCAAAACAAATGGGAGACAACAGGAAGCTGTGCGCGCTCAGGAGCTGGAGGAAGTGCAATCCGAGATCCAGAGTATTCTGCTGCTACAGAACAAGCTCTAGGCCAGCGTGGAATGCACAAGACCCCGCCTCAAACGTAATAAACTTATTAAAGATAAACAAAACTATAGCGATGGTGGGTCTCAACCCAAATGTATCAGATATATGAATAAATCTATATGAATATAAATAGACTAAACACTTTGGCTAAAAAAAAAAGAAAAAAATCAATGTTTGGGCTTAGTGGGTAAAGTGCTCCCACCCAAGCGTGAGGACCTGACTTTTGGCCCCCAGAATTCATGTGTGCTGGGTAATTTTATGTCAACTTGACTCAAGCTAGAGACCTCAGAAAGGAGGGAGCTTCAATTGAGAAAATGCCTCCATAAGATCTCGCTAGAGAGCATTCCTTAATTAGTGATTGACTGGGGAGAGCCCAGCCCATTGTGTGTGGTTCCATCCCTGAGCTGGTCCTGGGTTCTATAAGAAAGCAGACTGAGCAAGACAGTAAGCACCTCCCCTCTAAGGCCTCTGCATCAGCTCCTGTCTTCAGGTTCCTGCCATGTTTGAGTTCCTGTTCTGACTTCCTTCAGTGATGGACTATGATGTGGAAGTGTAAGTCAAATAAACCCTTCCCTTCCCAACTTGGTTTTGGTCATAATGTTTCATCGCAGCAATAGTAACCATGTAAAGGTGGACACAGTTGCACATGTCTGTAATGTCAGTGCTCCTACAGTGAGCTGGGAGATGGAGGCAGAATCCCTGAACCTCACGGGAGGACTCAGCAGTAAATAGTGAAAGACCATGTCTCAAAGAAGGTAGAAGGTGAGGACCAACACCTGAGATGCTAACTCCACATAAGTGCTGGGACACTGCGCAATGCTCCCGCCACATACACACACAGATAAAAGCAATCCAAGCTTGTAGACAGGGGTTACAGCTTAGAGGGAGTGCATATGCTTAGCATATAAGAGGTCCTGGGTTCACTTCTCTGTACCCTAAAAACCAAACCTATACATATATATATATATATATATATATATATATATATATATATATATATATATATATATATGCCTGCCAAATGCTGAACAAGCATATTCTCTTTAGAGGGCATATCTCAGGTGTGTGGCTACAGAAAAGCCAAGAGTGAAAATATATAAACACTGGGTTAAGTCAGAGTGCCTGAGTCTGAGGAGCCTGAGGACAGTCCATAAAACAAGGGCCGTTGCCTGGCTTGGGCTTGAGGCCCTCACTGAGCAGCAGCCAGTGTTTGAGATGAGATCTGGACACAGTCATCCCTGGACATGTGCAGTGTACAGGAGAAAACATGAGGCACAGCTGGAGCACATCTGCCTTCTCACAATGAACTCTAGTAAAAGACAGTGGACGTACACCTAGACCAGAGGCAGAAGCAATGGCGGATGTTGGCTTTTGCTGCTGTTCTGTTCCTCAGCAGATGGCAGCCAAGGATTCAGTAGATGCTCTCATTATGGACCAATTTTCTAGAATTAATTTATCATGAATAAAATAATACTGTATAAAAAAACAAAGCTCAAAACATTTTTCATAAAGAATAGCAAACTTCTGTACATGAAATTTTTTAAAAATAATAATCGCAGTGATTAATTCATAAGCATGATAAAGGTAAATAAACTATTGGAATGATGTATATAGCCATGATTATAAAATGTTACTGATGCTGGCATTTAGTTCAGTGGTAGAGTGCTGACCTAGCATGTGTGAGGCTCTGGGTTTGATTCCCAGTATAGAAACTGGGAAACCAGAGGAGGAAAAACAAAACAAAACTGTGGGGCGTTTACCCACCAACCCCACAGCTCCCCAGAGTTTTCTTGAGTGTGAGCAGCAGGAAATATTAGATAGAAGGATTTATTGTGGAGAATCTTGCGGAGATAAACAGAAAATAAAGGATAGCCTCAAGAGGGCCTGGAACCTTTTCCAAAGGGCCCCGACTGTCTCTGCCCCAGGGTTTTTATAGAGACGCCAAGGGGTGGAGCAAAAGACCTCCTCCCTCAGCACAGCCAAGTGCAGACCATCTCAGACACCTGCACTCAGGCCCGTGGTCTAATCATCCTCTATGCGGACCTGCTGGGTAAAACCACGAGGAACACGAAAAACGGGCTCCCACACAAAACAAAACAAAAACAAAAACCTTCCAACTAAAGAATAAGCTTACTGAATTTCAATGATCTCCATTTTTAAGTGTGTGTGTGTGTGTGTGTGTGTGTGTGTGTGTGTGTGTGTGTGTGTTCACGTGTATGAGCACAAGTGAGTGTGTACCAATGGAGGTCAGAAGACAGCTTTGGGAGTTAGCCTTTGCCTTCCACCTTGTTTGAGACAAGGCCTCTCTTGACCTTCACCACTGCATCCAGCAGGCTAGCTGGCCTATGAGAGCCCAGGGTTCTCCTGCCTCCATCCCCCATCTTGCTGGAGGAGCATGGGGACTATAGACGTAGGTTCCGGGGATCAAACTCAGGGCCTCACACTTGTGCAGCAATCGCCTTTAGCCATGGAGCCAGCTTCTCCCCAGCCCTCCATTCTTTCTCCTTAGGGGCATTTAACTACATTTCAGGCTTTCCGCCACTGTTATTTCAGGGAAGAGAGCCATCCTGACTGACCCACCACAGATTATGGTTGCTTTTGTGTCCCATAACTAGGAAGTGAGAGGAGTAGAGAGGAGGAAACCTGTTCCGTTAGAAACTTCCAGGGCCAGCTGACTTGAGCAGCTGCACACAGGTCTTTCGGACTCAGAAAGGAAAAGATGTACAGAGAAATGGAGCGCGGTAACACTGTCGAGAAATCCACGCTGGCCACCTGCTTCCTTTCTGAAAACCAGTCTTGCATGAACCTACAAAGAGAGACACAGAAGTTTAGTTCTTAACACCATCATCTGACTGTGACTAAAAGATCTTGTAAAGATGCCGGTCATTGTTATTTTTCAAAGTTCCATTGTAAAGTAATTAAATCAGGGATTGGGAAGTGGTAATATGCCTCCCGAACCTGAGCAAGGTCTTGAGTTACATCCTCAGCATTGGATATATGTATGTATGTATGTATATGTATATATATATGTGTGTATATCCATATGTTGTGTATATATGTATGTATATATGCATATATACACATATATGTTTATATGTGTTTTGTCTGCATATATATCTGTGCACTCGTGTGTCCCTGAAGAGGTCAGAAGAGGGCATCAAATCCCTTGGAACTGGAGTTACAGAGGTTGTGAACCATCATGTGAGTGCTGGGAATCAAACCCAGGTCCTCTGGAAAGTCAACCAGTGTTTAACTTCTGAGCTTTCTCTCTACCAGGTGTTCTCAACTTATGGGTCGTGACCCCTATGTCAAAAAATATTTACACTCTGATTCATAACACTAGCAAAATTACAGTTAGGAAGTAACAACAAAAATGATTTTATGGTTGAGGAGGGGTCACCACAACATGAGGAACTGCAATAAAGTGTCGCAGCATTAGGGACTACTGCAAGTCTAGCTCCATTTTTTAAATGAAATTTTAAGTCAGCAGGCAAAGCGATGTGTTCCTTATAGCATTTTCATCCATATAGCATCAGCCTCCGTCCTTGCTGTCTCCTTCCCTCGATGACTCCCCCATCCCTTGCTTCGCCCTTGTTAATCTCTCTCTCACAAGAGCCTCTCTTTGATTTTCATGTCAGACATATTCCCCCACTCCCCTACTGAGCTCTCCTCCTCCACTCTCGTGGCCCCCTTTCTAGTTTTATAATTTTCGCACACACATACACACACGTGTGCACACTTGTATGTGTGTGTAATACTCTTCTCTTTATATATTGGGGACAAAACTCTACAGTGCTAGGCTACCAGATAGGTGGTAGTCTTTGAGGACCTATTGCTGGAGCAGGAATTGCTGGAAGCAATCCAGGCAGCAGGGATCCCGCACTGCTGCCAAACTCACTGTAATCTCAGACATCTATGACCAGATCTAGGTGCTGGAAAAAGTCCTGCTAATCAAGGCCTTTGGCACTACAGAATTTTCTCCCACTGCTAAGTGGTCACTACTATCCAATGTCATCGGGCCCCAGTGGACACAGATGAGCAAATTCCTAGAGGGTGGCTTAAGCCTCAACACATTTCCTAGAAATGGAAACAGCATTTCCCATTAAGAAAAGACCGAGCCCAAGATGTGGAAGTAGATAAGGCTGAAGAAGGATGCAAAAAAGTCCATTTTCTACTAAAGATACAGACTGGCCTCACTACAGAAGCCTTCTATGACTTCTCAGTGTTGGGCATGTCTTTCCCTACTTGGCCAGCCGTATGAGATTTGGTTGACACATCACTTGAGAACAAACACATAAAACCTAGTGTAATTCAATGCCAGCTAAAGATAATACAGAGGATTACATTAACAGAGTCTCAAGTTCAAGGGGCTGGACTGGGAAGGACTGATCCTGATAGATGACTTAGCCATGACTATGCAGAAAGCTCTCTCAGCAGACCTGGTTTAGTTCAACAGAAGAATAACTGCTGAGTGCCAAGTATCTGTTTTGTTTTGTTTTTTTTTAAACAGGGCAGCATCCTCTATAATTCTCTGTTCCCCTCCCCCATGCTATAAATATACATCAAGTCTCTGCATTTGTACTCACTCACTGGCCCAGGGCCACATAGCCCATCTCCACATTGCCTAAGCTGTGTGGTGATGAAAGGTGAGGTCATCCTGCCACCTCTCTGTCTATGTGAGTTTTCCCTGGGGTAAGAGAGGAGGAGGGAGTTGACATCAGGGTGGGCGAGCACTAGTTGAGATAAAGGGAGTCAGCAAGAGTGGGAGAGGGCTTAAGGGCATATATGTGGTTGTGATCACAATACACTCTCTACATGTATGGAATTTGTCACAAAGAAATAAATCATATCCTATAAGAATTTTTCCTAATAAAGTCTGTTCTACGTGTACATTCCATGGAACTTCTGTGTGTGTGTCCCCTACACAAGGCTGAAGATAGTACATGGCATATAAAAGCACTTAATAAATAGTTGTTAAATAAATATGTTATAGGAAAAAAAACAGGTAAAATGCACCCTACCACCTGCAGGGAGAAGTCAGTGTCTCTAGATTTTTTGCACTGGAGTTTTTGTAAGAGATTCCTACATGCCTTGATTGATTTACACGAAAACATGAAGAATCCTGGGACTGGAGAGTTGGCTCCTTGATTAAGAGGATTTGCCGCTTTTACAGAGGACCCGTGTTCAGCTCTAAGCCCCCACATGGTGCCTCACAACCATCTATAACTCCAGTTTCAGGAAATCTGATACCCCTCTGACCTCTGAGAACATCAGGCACACAGGAGGTGTGCTTCATGTGCAGGCAAAACACTCATACACACAAGATCAACAAAAAGAGGAATCATGGCTTGCAGCCAGATGTGGTGGCACAAGCCTGAAGTAACGGCACTTCGGAGACTTCGACAGGAGGATCAAGAGCTCGTGTGGCTCGACTCTTAAAAGGTCTTAGTAATAAAAACAAACCCGAGCCAGGCGGTGGTGGCACATGCCTTTAATCCCAGCACTCGGGAGGCAGAGGTAGGCGAATCTTTGTGAGTTCGAGGCCAGCCTGGTCTACAGAGCGAGATCCAGGGAAGGCGCAAAGCTACACAGAGAAACCCTGTCTCGAAAAACAAAAAAAACAAAAAAAACAAAAAACAAAAAACAAACAGAGAAAGAACTCGGAGCCAGGTATTGGGGTCAACGCTGAAAGATCAGAGAAGCAGAACAAGCCACAGCTAACCTCACCTGGCCAACTTCTCAGCCAATCCTGTTTCCTCAGACTGGAAGTCTCTGAGTCCTCATCTGAATGGATCTCAGCTGAACTGCTGCTAAAAGCTAAAAGCTTGCCGGGCGGTGGTGGCGCACGCCTTTAATCCCAGCACTCGAGAGGCAGAGCCAGGCGGATCTCTGTGAGTTCGAGGCCAGCCTGGGCTACCAAGTGAGTTCCAGGAGAGGCGCAAAGCTACACAGAGAAACCCTGTCTCGAAAAACCAAAAAAAAAAAAAAAAAAAAAAAAAAAAAAGCTAAAAGCTTAAAAAGGCTCTAGTTCCTGGTCCTCATGTTTTATATACCTTTCTGCTTCCTGCCATCACTTCCTGGGATTAAAGGCGTGTGTCACCATGCCTGGCTGTTTCCAGTGTGGCTTTGAATTCACAGAGATCCACATGGATCTCTGCCTCCAGAAGGCTAGGATTAGAGGTGTGTGTGCCACAAAGAGACTGTATCTCAAAAAATACCAGGCATTTGTCACCCACACTTGGCAACCCGAGTTTGATCCCTAGAACCCACATAAAGGTGGAAGGAAGGAACCAACTCTACAGTGGTCCTCTAATCTCCAAACACATGCTGTGGGACATGTGCACCCATGACAGACCAGGTGCGCATACGCACCATAATAATAAACATTAATCTTTTTAAACAAACAACAAAAAGCATAGTAATTTGAATGAACGGGATGGAGTTCTTGGCTGGGAATCTAATGGTTTCTCCTACACAACATCTCCCAACAGTTGCTTCCAGTGCCTGGTTCCCCAGAGGGTCTTGTGCCATGTGTCTTGATTCTGGTGCATTTCATTCTTTGCCTCTCAGGCTTCGTGGGCCTGTTATTCACTACTTCTCCATTTTCTACTGGCGCACTTGTGACTTGCGTTTATAGACATGGCTTTGCTTTATCTAAGGTAGAATGGTCTTTACTGTTTGGGGATGGTTTGGGGAGTTACTTTATTCTTACCTGTTATTTTATAACTGATAACAATGGGAGCTTAAGCTTTTTAATGGAGCTAAAATGCAAAGCAAAGGCGTATTGGTTTGAATGTTCTTGTGATTTTGTTGTTCGAATCTTAGATGGTCTTTTAATAAACCCGGAGCCAGATATTGGGGTGAAAGCCGAAAGATCAGAGAAGCAAGCCACAGCCATCCTTACCTTGCCAACTCCTCAGCTGATCCTGTTTCCATGAATCCTCTGACTGAAATCCTCTGAGTCTGCACCCGAAAGGGTCTCAGCTGAACTGCTTTAGTTCCTGTTTCCTCACGCCTTATACACCTTTCTCCACCCTGTCGTCACTTCCTGGGATTAAAGGCATGTGTGCTTCCCAGTACTGGGATTAAAGGTGTGTGCCACCACTGTCTGGCCTCTATGTCTAATCTAGTGGCTGGCTCTGTCCTCCAATCCCCAGGCAAGTTTATTAGGGTACACAATATATCACCACATGACTTATTCTTTAGGTCTGTGCTCCTAAAAGAAATAGACTTCTTTTCCCTTTTAGTTGATAACTTCTACACAAGATAAAATTTCCTTCCTGTCTAGAGCTGTTGCTACATTGCAAAATGTGTTTCATTTATTCCTACTTTTAATATCTAGGCCAGCCTGTTCCAAACTGTCAGTCATTTCTCCTAATTGGATAACAAGCCGGCATTGGAGAGACTGATGGGAAAGAGTTGTGATAGGTTCACTCAGCCCGGTGTGGGCTGAGTTAAAAGTGAGGTGGCAAAATAACTAGCCTGCCCCCTGCCAAACTGTCAAGAAATGAAAGACAAGGACACCCTGGGCAACTGTTCCACAGGGAGGCTGGATCTAGAGATAGAAAAACTGGGAGCCAAATTCCATCCCCAGAACCCGAGCCATGTGCACTGGTGTCCACTTGTCATCCCAGAGCTGAGGCTGAGGAGAGCCAGCATAGCACACTGGGCAAGCCCAGAACAAGGAAAAACCCGGTCTCCAAAAACAGTGGCTAAGGAACAAAACTCAAAATTGTTTTCTGGGCTGCACGTGTATGTGCTCCCTTGTGCACCTGCACCCACAGACACGTATGCACCTCATCACAC